TTCATCGAGGGGCCTCCTGTGTGAGTACCCCGAACTTTTCATCCTTCTGAGGTTCTGCTCAAAGGATATCTAGTCGCACCCTCTGCTTCTCCCCGAGACACGTTTCCTGACGATCAATCTCTTAATTGTAAGACATGAAAAGCACCTTCTTTCTGTAAATACTACTCAGAGCCCCAAATAATATACAGAAAAATACAGAGACCAAGACAGGAGGGAAGGGTAGAGGAAGAGTGGAAGGAACATGTTTTATGAGCCTAACCCTGATATTTCTAAATACATGTCTGTCATTCACTCCTTGTGATCTTTAGGAAACATTATCCTTATGGAAAATAAAACACAGTGAGCATTCCCTGACCTGTGTGGCTCAGTGGCTGAGTGTCAACCCTGCACCAAGAGGTCACCGGTTTGATTCCCGGTCAGGGCACATGCCCAGGTTGTGGGCCCATCCCCAGGGGGGGCATGCAGGAGGCGGCCAATCGATGTTCTCTCTCATCAATATTTCTCTCTCTCCCTCTCTAAAATCAATAAAGAAAAAAAAAAATTAACAACAACACACACAGTGAGCATTAAGAAGACACAGGGCCACAAAGACTCTGAATTCCAGCACCTAGAATCTTTATCAGGGGCACGGGAGAGGGGCCAAAGTAGGTTTACCACTGTTGGTATGGAAAGTAATTCAATAATTAGTAGGAAATAATACAAGAATAAACTGTTTTGTGTATTCACAACTGTAAACCTTTTACCCAGCCTGCAATTTATACCAGGAAGAGCCGACTCAGTGTATTTCTGGACCCTGAGCCTGTACATACTTGTACAGTTAGTTACGTTGGTACGTGTGGGTTTTTCTCACACGACTTCAGCTCCGTCTCTTTAAGGTACTTCCTCGTTTCAACTAATCTCAGAGGAGCTCATTTAAGTTGATGATATGACTTATTAAGTTAGAGGGAATTGGTTTCCTTGCTTTTTTTTTATCCTCACCTGAGGACATTTTTTTTCATTTATCTTCAGATAGAGAGGGAGGGAGGGAGAGAGGGAGGGAGAGAGGGAGGGAGGGAGGGAGGGAGAAACATCGATGTGAGAGAGACACATCAACTGGTTGTGCCCCGAACAACCCCAACCAGAACCGGGATCCGAAACGCAACCAAGGGACACACCCTTGACCAGAATCAAACCAGTGACTCTTTGGTCCTCAGGGCGACACTCTAACCACTGAGCCAAACCGGCCAAGGTGGTTTCCTTGCTTTTTTAAAAAAAATGTCATATTTTCTCTAGAACATTATAAAGCCTATATTGTTTTAAATAAACTAACACATCTAATGCGATAAAGGAAATGCTATAGTGAATTCCCCATTTCTTAGAATGGGTATTTGTGACTTGATTCCTCAACTTGGGCAGAATTTTAGAAGCGTCTTAAGTAATCAAAGTTTACCTCCAGTTCCCCTTGGTAATCTACCTCTTGCGTCCGTCGGCTGCAGCGAAGGCAGCCCAGCTCATTACTTAATACGGTTGCTCAAGGACCCGAGCTGCTGGAGCTGGGTGTCCAGCCTATGGGCAGTGGGGGGCTCCTCGCCCATCGCCCGTGGTCAGCAGTGATGCCAGGGCCTCTCTCTCGGCCCACCTCACTAGCCTATGTGCTGTTAAATGAGAATACTGACCCTTATGATCAATCAACAGAGTCACTTAATTGAACGAGCACCTGTGGACTCCTGGGTGGTGAGCAGCTGGACGGCTGGGGGAGCGTGGACCACAGCAGGTGCGCAGTGGGTCCTGGTGGAACTGTCAGCGAGTCTGAGCGTGATCACAGCAGGATTGTTTCTCCAAAGTACTCAAGAGGCTCGTGAAAAGCAATTTTTTTTTTCATTTCTGTGTGTACAGTTGCAGAGTGGATACCGTGTGCATTTTCCGCTCTAATTTAGACTGGTTGAAAGGAGTAAATAATGAAATACTGACATATTTATTTTGCATCTACTAAGCATATCCACTGAAATAGATTTGTCTGCACCATTTCCCTTACATTGCGATCGTGCCCTCATTTTACAGCAATTTTCTGTATTTTGTGAAATTGTTTCCCGAAGCTCGTCACGCATTCGGGTGTGGCGTGCCCCTGGGTCAGCAGCGTGCGTGAGGTCGGGCTGTTTCTCTCAGATGTGAGTTCAACGTCCCGTCCCCCGGGAAGTGGGATTCACCCCGTCTGGAGTCACGGGGACCCTCACGCAAGGTGTCAAGTGGGTTTTTGGCCAGTTTCCTAATAAGATGAAACCTGAATGCGCCTCTCAGCTACTTTTAAAAGTAATCTTGACAGTTTTGCTCTATTCGGAGTTGGATGAATGACTATTTGCCAAGGATTCTGATTTTTAGAGGTTTACTTCATTTTTTAAAGATTTACTTACTGGCCCTGCCTGGTTTGGCTCAGCGGTTAGAGCATCGGCCTGTGGTCCAGAGAGACCCGGGTTTGGTTCCCGCTAAGGGCACGTACCTCGGTTGCAGTTTGTCCCCGGCCCTGGTTGGGTCGTGTGGGTGGCAGCCACTCGATGTGTCCCTTTCACATCGATGTTTCTCTCTCTCTCTCCCTCCCTCCCGCTCTATCTGAACAAAAATGGAAAAATGTCCTCGGGTGAGGATTTAAAAAATATATATATTTACTTACTGTTTGATCGTCTTTTCAGCCCCATTTCCATACACAATGTATGTTTTCTTTTTCATATACTCTTTACACATTTTTTGAGACAGAAATATTGATGAGAACGTCGATTGGCTGCCTCCTGCATGCCCCCCAGTGGAGATCAAGCCCACAACCCTGGCGTGTGCCCTGACCAGGAATCAAACAGGCCCTCTCAGTCCATGGGATGACACCGAGTCCTTAAAAATTACAAAAGGATGCCCGGCTGGTGTGGCTCAGCGGATTGAGAGTATCATGGGCCGAGAGGTCCTGGTTCAATTCCTGGTCAGGGCACATGCAGGATGCAGGCTCAATCCCTGGTAAGGAGCGTGCAGGAGGCAGCCGATCAGTGTTTCACTCTCACGTTGATGTTTCTCTCTAGAAAATAAAAAATTGATTTTTTAATAAAATTTTTTTTTTAAATTACGAAGAGTGCATCAGTGCCGTAAACAGTCAAAACGCCGATACTGTGTGTCAGGTCAGAGGTGCGAGCTCCCAGGCTCCCACCTCCGGCTGCGCGGGCAGCGAGGCTGCGGCCGGGGGCCCAGGGGCCTCTCCTCCCACCCGACCTGGCTACTGTGCCGCCAGCCCTGTCACTGAGCAGGCCTGGGCTCTCCCCATTGGTGTACGTCCCTCACGCACGTGCCTTTTTAAACCGTTCCTCAAGGCCTGTGAACAGACTGAACACTTCTCCCATCACAGACAGCTAGATTATGTGTTTTCTCACTACTAAATGTCTCAGTAAATGTATCTAATACTGACATCCAGAAGTGGAACATTTCTGGTAGATAGGCTCGAACTGCCTTCCAGGAAGGCTGGACCTACCACATGCCCCACCAGGGCGTGGCAATGGTCGTCTCTCCAAATCCTGACTGTGAACTAGCAATATGATCACCTTCTCCCTGGTGTTTTAATGTCTAGTGTTTAATTTTACACCGTGACGCTCCTGGCTCCCTGCCCAAAGGTGACAGGCATGAAAGGTAGGTGTTAAGACTGCCCTGGCCGGTTTGGCTCAGCGGTTAGAGCGTCGGCCTGCGGTCCAGAGAGACCCAGGTCCGGTTCCCGCTAAGGGCATGTACCTCGGTTGCAGTTTGTCCCCAACCCTGGTTGGGTCGTGCGGGTGGCGGCCACTCAATATGTCCCTTTCACATTGATGTTTCTCTCTCTCTCTCTCTCCCCCTTCCTCCCGCTCTATGTGAACAACAAATGAAAAAATGTCCTCGGGTGAGGATTAAAAAAAAGAAAAAGAAAAAGAAAGGTGTTAAGATTACTAGGCCCTCAACATACTTTTGTTCACAATAAACAAAAGGTCAACAACCTAACATCCTGCCCTAAATGCCCTCAACAGAAGACCGAGTGAGTCCACCCATGCAGCGGGGTCCTCGGCAGCTGTGTCAGAAGAGATGCTGTCGATGTCTGTCAACACGGGACAGGGCGAGGACACTAAGGAAGAAGATGCTGTCGATGTCTGTCAACACGGGACAGGGCGAGGACACACTCTAAAGAAGATGCTGTCGATGTCTGCGAACACGGGACAGGGCGAGGACACTCTCTAAGGAAGAAGATGCTGTCAATGTCTGTCAACACGGGACAGGGCGAGGACACACTCTAAAGAAGATGCTGTCGATGTCTGCGAACACGGGACAGGGCGAGGACACTCTCTAAGGAAGAAGATGCTGTCAATGTCTGTCAACACGGGACAGGGCGAGGACACACTCTAAGGAAGAAGATGCTGTCGATGTCTGTCAACACGGGACAGGGCGAGGACACACTCTAAAGAAGATGCTGTCGATGTCTGCGAACACGGGACAGGGCGAGGACACTCTCTAAGGAAGAAGATGCTGTCAATGTCTGTCAACACGGGACAGGGCGAGGACACTCTCTAAGGAAGAAGATGCTGTCGATGTCTGCGAACACGGGACAGGGCGAGGACACTCTCTAAGGAAGAAGATGCTGTCAATGTCTGCGAACACGGGACAGGGCGAGGACACACTCTAAGGAAGAAGATGCTGTCGATGTCTGCGAACATGGGACAGGGCGAGGACACTAAGGAAGAAAAGCGGCTACAGGAGACACCCGTGGGACACCCCGCCCGCACCGGGGAGAGCCGACTCAAGTGTCTGCGCTGCTTTCCCAAGGTGGGGGGTGGGTGGTTTCACCTCTTCCTTCGTCCACACCGCTGTCTGCCCCCCGGTGAACGCGCACTGTTTACAAAGCAGGACCCGCTACAGGGGTCTGCACACGTTTACATCTTAAAGACACCAGTACCCCAGGCTGTCGAGAACTGCCCAGTAAAATGCTGGTAGGCAGCACCTACCCCCGAGGTGACCACTGTTCACCTTCTGCTTCTGTGGTCCATCTGAGGTTAGACTGCACTTTGTTCTTGCTGAACGAGTTTTATTAGATCTGCTAGGAGAAGGTGACAGGAGAGCTTACAGGAGTAGAAACTGGCGCTTTCCCTCCAGCACTGGTGTGACCGTAAACCCTGAGCAAGTTAGCAGCGCTCTATCTCGAATGTAAACCACTACGCTGCAGGAAGACATATCAAATCACACATCCTCATTTACAAGCAAGATGCAGAGTTTCCATTTGGGCTCACTTCCTGTCCCAGGACACATCTGGACAAGGAAGACCTGCTGGAGACAGGACGAAAGGCCCTCGGCGGTGGGCAAACAGGAGCACACGTCAGGTGTTCACTGGGAGAAGACGAGCTTCATCCAGCCCAGCTGTACGCCGTGATCACGCTGCTGTCCCACCTGCGGGTGGGCACTCTGGACACACACTGCGGAGCACGTATGACACCCAGGTCCTCGTGCTCAGCAATGGGGGAGGTGGCACCACAAAGATGGCTTCCTCCAGTCGTGAGTGTCCCGTTTACTTGCCACAACCAAAGGTTTTGTTCCAGTTTTCATAAAGCTCTAGATCTTTTGGAGACACGCTAGGCCGCACAGTTCTGAACGCATTTTCAAAGTCCACATACGCTATGGGTGGGACCTGGTCTGCTGCTATTGTGGCGATGTCGGCGGTCTGCAGGCTGCGAATGGGCCCGAGGGACGCCTCCCTGCACAGCTGTGTCATGTCGGCGCCCGAGAAGCCTTCCGAGCGCTGCACTATCAGCTCGACTTCCTCCTCCCGGAGGCAGCACTGCTCCCTGGACATCAGATTGGTCACTATCTGCTTCCGGGCTGCTGCTTCTGGGAGGGGGATGTAGAGCCTCTTCACCAGCCTCCTCCGGGCAGCCTCGTCGATTTCCTGAGGCCGGTTGGTTGCTCCCACAACCAGAATGCGATCTTCGGAAGACGTGGTCGCTCCGTCTAACTGAACCAGGAACTCAGTTTTTATCCTCCGAGAAGACTCATGCTCACCATCTCCCCGCTGGGATAACAAGGAGTCAATTTCATCAATGAATATCACGGCTGGCTGCTGACACCTTGCAACAGCAAACAAGGCTCGGACCATCTTCTCCCCCTCACCCACCCACTTGGAGGTCAAGGAGGAGGCAGAAATACTGAAGAAGGTGGCCCCAGACTGACTCGCGATACACTTGCCAATCAAGGTTTTCCCAGTCCCCGGAGGACCAAAGAGCAGGATTCCTTTCGGCGGCCCTCGCAAACCAGTGAAGATGTCCGGCCTCATCATGGGCCACACAACTATCTCCTTGATGGTGGCTTTAGCGAATTCCACCCCGGCAATGTCTTCCCAGCTCACGGGAGGCCCGTGGTCCACAATCTCACTCATAATCAGTTCGATCATTTTTGGCTCCAAGCTCTTCAGACGCTCATCACCGGGGGGCGCTGGTTCTGTGGGCCCGGCGCCATCAGGTTTATACTGCATGCCGCCATTCGGGTCCCCCCCGTCTGCCTTAGGCACAGGAGGGACAAACTTCCCAAAAATCCCTCGGGACCTACTGGCTCCCAGAGACTTTTTTACGCCACCATAGGAAGACGCTGACGCACGTGGGGGCTGGTGGCACTTTTTTTGTTGCTCGACCCATAGCTGTTCTTTGGCCGTCTTAAAGGCGGGCAGACTGCTTTCCTCTCTGTGGCCACTGGGTCCCGTGTCACTCAGGGCCTTACTCGGGGCCGGGACAGAAAGTGCGCCGTCAGCAGTGCTGGGACCAGGCAGGGTGTTCCTGTCCCGGGGGTTTTCCCTGCCAGGGGGACAGCGGGGCTGATGGGATGGGAGCATGCTCAGTCCTATGCTGGCTTTCGGAGAGCTGTTGTTTTCCTTTCTGATGTTTCCAAATAATGGTGTGGCTAAGTCACCAAAAGGCGCAGAGAACGTGGGACACGGCTTTGGGGTGTTGATCGCCACAGGTGGCTGGGCATTCTGAGGGCCCCACGGACTGCTCTCTGGGATGTCCCGGGTCCTCTCCGTCCCATGAGCTGGCTTAGTCGATAGCTCATTCTCCCCAGAACCACAAACGCTAAATCTCGGAGGATCAGAGACCACGGACCCTTTATGGATTACTACCGAAGCCTCTGCAGGGGCCAGCAGGGAGTCTCTGAGCTTCTGGCCGGCCCGCACCATCTCCTGCACTTCACGCATCTGGAAAACATTACTTACTGACAAGCCAGACTGCCACTGGTCGCTGTGAGTTTGCTGAGCTCTTACTGACGGTAAAATGCTCTCTGCATAGTTATTCAAGCCAGTCTCCGCATTGTCAGAATCGACGATTGCAGAATACTTCTCTGCGTATTTCTTGAACAGTTTGGAAGCACAGACCTGGGAGATCTCGGAGTTTGCCCACGCGTACTGAATGCGCAATATCTGCGCTCGGTAGGCATCCGCCTTCTCCTCAGCTGTACACGTACCAGATGTCACTGTGAAGTAGTTTTTCTGCCATTCACTCAGGTGCACAGACCTGGAGTCTGGGGCCTGCATCGTAGAGGCTCTACAACAAAGACAAACGTGGGAGAGTCAGTAATAATTAGAAGACGACAAAGTACACTGTTAAATCCCAGCTCATCTGAAAGAAGACTCTCATTTACACAGTAAATGTGTCAGGGCAGACCATCTGCAAGAGAAATACTAGTTACTCATAAACTGCACACATTCAAGATATAAAAGACTAAAGACCCGACTTAATAATGCTTTGTTATGGGTTTAACTGTTTTGGTTATATAATAATTTTCCCTGCTAACAGGGAAAGCATTTCTAAGGAAAGGACTTAAAATTAATCAGCACAGAAAGGCCACATGGAAGGAGCATGGAATACAGACAAAGCAAAACTGATCAAACCTGGGGTTTAAGTCTGGCCTCCAAGAAAAAACAGATGAACAACATGAAGCAGGCCTCTTACTTCCGCCAAGCCTTCAGTTTTCTCTGGAAAGGGAGAGAAATCATTGTGAGAACCAAGTCAAACAATGAATATAAAAATGCTCTGAAAACTGTTACCAGCCCTACTGCACAAATGTGGAAACTGAGGCTGAGCGTGTGAAGGAACTCCCTGGAGATCAGAGTGTTCGGGTTGGTGCAGAATTCCCCCCGAGCCGTCTCTCCCCTGGCAGCGGGCACGTCCCAGGGTGCAGATGCCCTCAGTGCTACCCCCAAGGTCAGAGCAGCCGGGATCATGAATACAAACCACCACCATTACTAAGGGTTTTTAGGGACTTATTCATGAATGAGGACATAAAACAGAAACCCCCAGAATCTCTCACCATTTCCCAACAAGCAGTAAAAAATTAAACTGTCATGATCTACAAATTACGAGAACACGCCACACAATCTGCTAGTCAAATGCCTATACTCAGATTTCTTCCCTCACATTATTTTTATAAGCCTCCTTACATGAAGCTAAAATCATTTTAACACGATTATAGATGAATATACCGTGTTGCTGGCTGTGTGGGATTTACCTGCCAACCCACGAGGGAAATTTGTAAGAAAACTTTTACGTTTCCTAACAGTGTTGCAATAAGGGAAAGACGAAGCATTTAAGTGTTTTCAAATGTACCCTCCAAATTACCTGTAAAGATAGCTTACTAATCATGTTGGGTGGCTTCATATCTCCCACAATACCCACAAAGACTATCCCACTCTAGGCAGGTGTTCATGAATCCTTGTTAAAAACAACAACAACAACAAAACTTAAGACTCAGGAAGATTCTAATTCGTTTAAAATTACAAAGGTAAATAGAGTCTAAACTACAACTGACGTCTCCTGCCCATCCTTCTGCTACAGCTTTTCCCTTGAACGTCTTTCGTGCAATACCAGCAATGGAAGGTGGGAAGAGAGGGGGCTGGCGCAGGCTCGGCACGAACTTCCCTCTTACTGGGGCACCTCCCCCTCCCCAGGGGTCCCCCTCACAGCTGCGCCCCCGCACCCTTCCCAGCACACCTGCCCTCTCTTCCTCCGCCCGCCGAGCTCTCCAAAACCCACCCGTCGTCTTCCCTCGAACTCAGCCCCGGGCCAGCAGCCGTGGATGCGGGTAACAGACACCCGTCCACACAGACACCTGCCGGGCCAGCCCTGACCCAGGCCCCGGCCCCGTCTCCACGTCCCCGTCATCTTCCTGCGCGTCTCCAGCCTCAAAGGCTCATCAGCACCGACTGGAACTGCGGCCACGCTTCCAGCTGGTGGGTTTCCGCTGGCAAAGAGGTGACATCTGTCCCACTGGACAGACCGGCTCCCGCGACGCGCAGGCCCCTCCGGCGTCACGGGGCAGAGCCGCGGTCCCGCGTGGCGGGCTCCCCGCACCTCGTCTCCCGCGCAGCCCGAGGCCCCCCCTCCTTCCCCAGGCCGGGGCCGCGGCCTCCGGGCACCTGCGGGGAGCGGCCGGCAGGCAGAGCCCCACCGGGGCTACACAGAGCTCGGCGGCCGTCGGGACTTCCGGTCACCGGGGCCCAAGACGCCCCCGCGGCGGCGGGCTCCTCCCGCGCCCTCCCCTAAAAGGGAGGCACCTGAGCGCACAGGTGTGGAGGGGGGCACGCCCACTGCGAGGGGCGTTCCGGGACCGCGGCCGTCCCCCCGCCGCCCAGGAGCCGCCCCGCCTCCGGCCGCCCCGGGAGGGCCTGCGGCGGCCGAGCTGGCCTCTCCGCGCCTCTCGTTCCCGCCCGGCTCCGGCTCCGCCACGCCGCCCGAGGCCCCACCGACCTGCAGCCTCGAAAAGCGCGCCGACCGATGTGCGCCTGCGCGCTGCGGACGTGCTCGCTCTGTGCCGTGCGTGCGTCTGTGCGGAGCGGGGGCGCGCGTCGGGGCGGGACCCGGCGTCGGGGCGGGGCCGCGCGTCAGGAGCGAGGCTGCGCGTCGGGGCGGGGCCGCGCGTCGGGGCGGGGCCCGGCGTCGGGGGCGAGGCTGCGCGTCGGGGCGGGGCCCGGCGTCGGGGGCGGGGCGCTGGCGTGTGGTCCTGGCACGGTGCTCGCAGGAGCCTGTTCTGCGCGGCGGGGCGGGTTTACGTCCCGGACGAACCCTGCGTTTCCTTGCGAGTGCGCTTCGTTCTTCAAGTCCTCCGCCTGAGGACGCGCGGGCGCCGAGGGCGCTGCCTTCCGCGGGTTGCCGGAGGACGCGCTCACCTGGACGCACCTGCCTGCCCGGGGGCCTTGAAGGGGGCCCCGCGGTGCCCGGGCCCGGGCCCCTCCCGCCACGCAGAGCCTCAGGGAGGTACCTGTTTCTCACCGGCTGCGATCAGGTCGAGTGGCGTGCAAAATCCCCGTCGTCGTCAAGAGGAACGGGGGATTGGAATACTGGCCCTGAGCCCTGCGGCTCAGATGCGCCCCTCGGCCAGCACCACCCCCCTCTGGCCTGGGCTCCTTCGGGACCGTGCCCTGGAGGACTGAAAAGCTCTATTACTACCTTGGACTTGGGCTTCAGAGAACAGAACCAGCTTTAGATTAGCTTAGTGAATTGCATTGTCAGATCGAGTCACAGAATAGCCACTAACAGCCACCTCTTCGCTGATGAATGTCACTGTGTCGCATAAAGAGAAGTCTGGAGGTTGGCCGTTCCGGGTCCGATGACACGACCCGGGGATGTCTGAAGGACCATCTTTCCATCTGCCGTTCTGCCGTCTTTTCCCTGGTGGAGTTTCCTCCCCAGGCCTGGGGTCTCCTTGTCCCAGGAGGGCCCCCACAAACCAGGGAGCCAGCATCACCTGTTAGAGCGGGAGGAAGGGGACACCCTGGGAAAGGACCTTTCCCCCTAAATACTGCTCCCTTGGAAAAAGGAAGAAGCCGCTCCCACGAAGCCCCAGTAGCCTTCCTGTCCCTGTCTGGGCTCAGCGGGTCCCCTGGCTGCCCTTTTCTGAAAAAGTGACCGTCTGCAGGTGGGGCTTGAAAAAATGACTCTTGAGTAGCAACTAACGCACATGACATCTAAATAACAGAAAATAACGCATCCTGTTGGAGATGTGCCTGCCTTTTCTGCTCCTTATTCTTGCTGTTTGTTTATTTAAGAGGTGGAGTCCCGTCCAAGTGAAACTCCCTATGCTGTTACAGCACCTAGAACCGTGCCCAACACGTACTGCACACTCAGCAAACATCGTTGAATACATGAGTGCTGTTTAAAAATATCCCGGGATGTCATATCTTTGGCCCTCTGAAAGGATACGTCCGTATTTTGCCAGTCGGCTGGGTACAACGTAGAACAGGACACTCACCAGACACAATAGCCATTGCACTTCAGATAGTTTATTAAGCACTGAACCACATGACGGGACACGTTAAAGACCACAGGCGTGACATCCAGTCCCACAACCATAGACAGCCCTGGGAGATCATTCCATAAGCCCTTGCCGCCACCACCACGTCAACAGCACGAAACACTGTGTTTTTTTAATCAACAAAAATCACAGCCAAATAATGAATAAAAGCTGTATCTCTGGGGTAAACGTCTCAGAGCAGATACCATTTCTTCACTGATGAGAATGCAGAGGCCTAAGCCCAGGCTCCCGGGGGACAGGAGAGGGAAGCGTGAAGCCACATAAGCTCGCGTCCACGGGGCCGGGACGATGTTTATCTTCCTCTTGGTCCAGTTTTCATGGACACTCTGTTCAAGTGTGGATCTCTGCAGGGAAAGAAATAATGTGAACAGATGGCTACATTTAAAAAGTTAAAGAATTGGAATTTTATACGCTTCCCACTTGAACACAGAAAAGGACGTGCTGTTTCTCCAGTCAGGTGAGGGCCACTGCAAGGGAGTTTGAACTGGCTTCTCTATGACCCATTCTGTCAAGGTCAGAAGAATCTGTGCCGTTTCCTACCCTCTGAACAATAGAGACAGGCCCTCCTTTCTGTCAGAACAGTGACACACGGGCTTGATACAAGGAAGGTGCATGTGGTTTGCTAGTGTATGCAACATTGAGGAAACAAATCCTACTTTCACCTTTTGATTTGAGAGCAAGGACAGTGAGTCCACAGTAGCCGTGACTTCTGTCAGAAGTGTGGCTTTGCCCTGGCCAGTTTGGCTCAGCGGTTAGAGCGTCGGCCTGCGGTCCGGAGAGACCAGGGTTCGGTTCCTGCTAAGGGCACGTACTTCGGTTGCAGTTTGTGCCCGGCCCTGGTTGGTCGTGCGGGTGGCAGCCACTCGATGTGTCCCTTCACGTCTATGTTTCTCTCTCTCTCTCTCCCTCCCACTCTATCTGTACAAAAAATGGAAAAATATCCTCGGGTGAGGATTTAAAAAAAAAAAAAAGAAGTGTGGCTTTGTTTCTGGTCATTTTTCAAAGCTCCGTGGAATCCAGTCATGATGTGACCCATCCACAGGGCATGTGTGCAGACACTGGGCTGCGGGAACATGTATCAGGAGTACTTGCCTGACATGTTCTGTTTTGTACACACCTCAGAGCAGTCACCCCCCCCACACACACACACACACCCTACCTTAGAACAATGGAATAATGAAAATCTGAGCCTCTGCCCAGCACCTTCCAGAGATGCTTCAGCTATGACTTTGAGTTGCTCTGGGCAGGGAGGTCCCCTAGGCTCAGGAGCAGTCACCTGAGCAGGGAGGTCCCCTAAACTCGGGTGCAGTGCGCCTGGGCAGGGAGGTCCCCTCGGCTCAGGAGCAGTCACCTGGGCAGGGAGGTCCCCTCGGCTCAGGAGCAGTCACCTGGGCAGGGAGGTCCCCTAAACTCGGGTGCAGTGCGCCTGGGCAGGGAGGTCCCCTCGGCTCAGGAGCAGTCACCTGGGCAGGGAGGTCCCCTAAACTCGGGTGCAGTACACCCGGGCAGGGAGGTCCCCTCAGCTGGCAGCAGTGCACTTTGAAGAAAGGTCCTGTTGTACCAGGAAAAGAACCAGGCAGTTCCAGACCAGCCGTGACTGCAAAGGTGGGTCTTTGACCTCATGGGTCAGGATCCATGGAGAGGCTTCTCATATAGACCAAACTCAACTTTTAACTTCTGACATTTTAGCACTATAATATTTCTGGTATTCACAGTTAAAATTAAGAGCAGAGAAGGCAGAGTCGTATGCTGGCAGTGGTCATAGGTCACACACGTAGGTTCTCCATCTCCCACAGGCCAGGATAGATGGGCCATGGGGTGACGAGAAGAGAGACAGAGAAGCAGAAGCGAAGGAGAGGGTCACAAAGGTACGTACACCACCCCTCAAAAATGGGGTGAAAGGATGAAAAGACAGACACGAAAAAGGTAGACACTCCAGTGGACCGGCGTTCTTAAAATAATCTAATGAAGCGGCTTTACGATTGCTGTGGCTCCATCAGACAGAACTGTGGTCCTCCCTGTGGCCAGCCTTGCATATCAAGTGTAAATGTTTTCCTCCCACGCTGACCACACGCTGTCCTCGGGGTTTCGTTCTCTGACACAGGGCAAAACCCTCACAACTTCAAGAAACCGGGCGTCCAAACATTTCCTCCCTCTGAACCATCCCCAGCGTGGTTCTCAGGGCAGTGAATCATGGGTCATGTCAAATCCCCCGTGTCACGTGTTCATGACTTTTCATCGATGTAGTTTGCCAGTTCAGTATGTAAGCTTGTGATGGTACTAGGTTGAATCAGTAAGCAGGGAGAACCCTGAGGGAACATTGCAGACACACACCATCAGTAGTTTTCACATGAGGATACACAGTAAACGTCCATCTGAGTCTCTGAAGAATAACTGTAGCCCATAGTTAGTTCCTCTCCCCCCTCTCCGGCAGGGCACAGGGCTGGCCCAGAGGCAGGACGAGCTCACCTGCGCACCTCTATGCCTGCCCAGCCTCCAGCAGGGCAGCCGCCAGCCCCTGGATGTGCTCCCAGGCCCGCTGCACATGCGCAGACTCCACCGTGCGGGAGCAGATGGCAAATCGCAGCACGAACTTGTCTCGCAGGCGACAGGGGACCAGGTGGATTTCCCTGGCACTGTTTATTCTGTCCAGAAGATGCTCATTCAGCGTGTTGGAACCCTGGAGGACCAAGAAACGAGCCACATCTCAGCGAAATAGCCACGGGACGGTCTGCCTTCCGCGGACGAGGGCTGGAGGGCAGATGCGGAGGCAGAGGAAGGGACATCTTTGTCTTGTCCCTCGGCAGTGGGGACCGTGCACAGGTGGGGTTGCCGTGTTTGCAAACCATGAGAAGGGAAGAGAACTCAGCCGTGACGACAGGCTGCTAAGTGGAAGAAGCCACCCACGAAGGCAGCAGGTGGCCGGCTCCAGGTAGGACTGTCCAGCAGGCACAGCCGTAGTGACAGGGAGCAGGGCAGGGGTGCCTCGGGAGGGGCGTGGGAGTGAGTGCTGAGGGGTGGGGGTTCCTCTGGGGAGGATGAAGATGTTTTCAGATTAGGTAGTGGCGGCGGCCGCACAGCTCTGTGGGGATGTGCACACTCGTCCCTTTACGGGGACAGGCTATGTGGGATGGAAACCTGGGCTGGGCGGTGTGGTTGGGGGGAGTTCATGCAGCTGTGGAGCACGGGGGTGACAGGATGCTTTGCCCTCTGTCACCTGGAAGGGACTGGACCGGACTAGAACTGACCTTCAGCCGGAAGCAGACGAGCCCCAGAGTGACTTCGGCACAGACTTCAAAGCGAGGATCCTGGTTCACCAGGGACTGGAACTCCTGAGCCAGCCGCACATGCTGGAGAGCGAGGGGAGGGCGAGTGAGCGCCTGGCCTCTGCCGGTCGGAGCTCAGCCACCCAGCCGGCAGCCGGCAGCCCCATCACCCAGCGGTGCGCTTTCGGCCATGGTCCCCAGTGTTCACCCACTCACACGCTGTTCCCGCCAGACTGACACACTCGTGTCCCCACGGGAAAAGGGTCGTGTCTTCAGGAAAACGCACCCATCCCCCTCTTCTGTTCCTGTCCCACCCCAACAACTGTTTGTGATTTTAGGGGAAACACTGGGAAGAGGCCTTTGAACGTTCTAGAAAAGAGGGGTGGCTGACACCCGCGGGGCGACTCCTCTGCGCGCAGCATGGCGCCAGCCGCTTGGCTGCTCGTCACAGGGGCGATGCCACCACCTGCCCGTTGTGCAGGGGGGGAAATTGAGGCTGGGCTCGCACATGGCTGCCTGGCGCCGAAGCTCTGGTCCCGCTGAGGCCGTGGCTGTTTGTCACGCGGCAGTGTCTTCCGCCACGGAGAGCTGAGAAGCACGTCAGTCCCTCCTCGCGGTGAAAAACATCACCTTATTTGGCTTCCAGATGTCCATGGAACTCAGGAGCGGGTTCGGATGGTCTTGGTCTGAGTGCAGGGTCTTGGGCGTGTCTTCCTGCTCTAAACCCGGGCATCCAGCTTGTGCTGTCCCTGCGAGGTGCCCAGGGAGCACCCCGCTGCCCTACCCGCTCCACGTGGCAGGGGAACCCCTCTGAAGGAGCCGTTCCCTCGCAGCACAAGCCTGGTGCCACCAGAGGGCGCCAAAGACTCGGGCCTGCAGGGGCCTGGCGGCGGCTGGTTCTGGACCACACACCTGCCTCTGCACAGGCTGCTGTCCCTGTCCGGCAGGATGGGGACCCGCTCAGAGGGAGGCTCTGAGTGTTTTCAGCACGAGCCAGCCTAATCACACCCAGATGCCCCGGAACTTAAAGCTGGAGTCATGATGGAGACATAAACCACCATTTTTCACATTCTTTCCCCAAGAAGCTAAATCGTCACCGCATCTGAGAACATGTTCTCAAATGGGGCGGGAGACCTCTTACACGTAAACCCTCTCTCACACACACACTCCTGTGAGGCAGACGGGGGCCAGTGCATGACGTTGGGTGGGCACTGAGCTGATGGACGCCCGGCCGCGAGCCCTGTCGCAGAGGATGGGCCTGGGACACCCTGTCCAGCCCACGGCCGCTCCGCCTCGGCGCCAGGACTTCAGACGAACAGCAGTGCCTCCACTGCTGGATCTGGAAGCTGTGATGAGCCCGGTGCCTGAGGCCGAGGCAGGACGTCAGGGTGGGAGCCACCTGGCTGCAGACAGCACACCGTTTGCAGCCGAAGGCAGAGGGGTGGGGGAGGGGCTTGGGCCAGTCCCAGAACACATTCAGGCCTCAGTTCCCGCAATTGCTTAAAAAAAAAAAAGCAGGGGAGGGCCTTGCAGTAGACAGGTGGTCTCCACCTTGGGGTGCTCATCACAGCGGAGAGAGACCCAGCCCAGGAGAGCTAGGGCGTGTCTGGGAACCCCGGGCCAGGTGACCTCATCCCCCCCATGCTTTCTTTCCCTTTCTGGAAGGTTCTGGAGAAAAGCCCTGTGTTCTGTCGCCACCCTTGACGGCGCCTTGCTGTCCACCAGGTGTCGCTGGATCACCAGCTCTGGGTGTTTTCCCAGGGACGGCCTGCTGGCGCCCATCACCAGCTGTCTCAGTGGCAACGTCAGAAGGATCCATGGCCACGCCCTGCCCGCCCCATACAGCCCTGCGCGCGGCAGCTCAGCCTGCCCCCTAGCACACGTGCTTATGATGGCGTCTGAATTCATCCCTGAAGCCCCCAGACCCCACAGACCCCCAGAGAGACAAGGGAGAGAAAGTCACCTTGCGGATATAGGCCTGCAGTCCCGTGACTCCGTACATCCGGAAAACAAACCACATCTTCAGGGAGCGGAACCGGCGCCCCAGCGGCAGCTGCCAATGCTGCAGAGAAGCAGAGCCGGCCTCAGGGCCCGGGGAGGCCGCTGCCCCGTCCCCAGGCGGCCAGTGCTGCAGAGAGCAGGGCCGGCCTCAGGGCCCGGGGAGGCCGCTGGCCGTCCCCAGGCGGGCCAGTGCTGCAGAGAGCAGGGCCGGCCTCAGGGCCCGGGGAGGCCGCTGGCCCATCCCCAGGCGGCCAGTGCTGCAGAGAGCAGGGCCGGCCTCAGGGCCCGGGGAGGCCGCTGCCCCGTCCCCAGGCGGCCAGTGCTGCAGAGAGCAGGGCCGGCCTCAGGGCCCAGGGAAGCCGCTGGCCCATCCCCAGGTGGGCCCTGGAGGAGTGAGCAGGGCTCAGGCGACAGCCTGGTGGCCGAGACCCTGCACTCACTGGGGTGCTCACAGATGTCCGTTGAGTGCACCGGCCGGGCTGGGCTCAGGCGCGTGGAGAGCAGCCAGGATGGGGTAGGTGCCACTTAGAGCGGACACTCCCTCTGCACCAGCCTCGCCTGGCGGGACCTGAGTCCTGAGGGCAAGGTACTCTGTCCCATTGTGTCTCGTTCCCAGCCCCGCCCCGCGCCTGACCCACAGCGGCCATTCCATAACCTGTGGACTGTTGTCGACGCCTGTGCTTAATTATCGGGAGGAAAACCCTTCCGCCCGAGTGGTCAGATCGTCTCTGCAGGTAGACACCCAGGAGCGATCGAGGCTCCTCAGACACCCAGTGAGTGGGTTCTGGGGGCTCTCCCTCCAGCACTGACAAGGCTGCAAGCGCTGTCTCCAGGGGGCCCTGTCCTCAGGGGGCCCTGTCTTTGGTCCCACCCCTAATCAGCACCAGCGTGGCCGGAGGTGCAGCTCCCTCGCCAGATGGCCTGGGTCCCCGAGGCTCGGTGCGTGAGTTCTCGACTAGGTCCCCTGCTCTGCCTTTTAGAGGTTCAGAAGTCCTTAACTTCCCCGAGTCTCTGAGTCCATCCACACCTGTCCCGTGAGTGTGTCAGTGCCCACGCTGCCCTGACCAGGTAAACTAGGCAAAGGAAGCTGCCCACAGGCAGAAAAGGGCAGAGCCCCTTCTCCAGACCCAGCGCCCGCCCTCCTTGGGGGCTAAGGCTCTGTCCTCACGCCCTGGTCCTCTGTAGGTCATAGTCCTGACACAGCCTGTTTGCCCCCCACTCTCCTGGAGCAGCCCCAGAGGCAGCATGAACTCCTGGGGTCCACACCCCTGCCTGGAGGCTGGGACAGTCTAGGTTGGGGTGTCATCCTCTTTAAACAGAGCGGTGGTGTCTCTGATTGACTTCCCTTCACCTGCTGAGCCCAGCACCAGCTCTGTCAGAGAGGCTGGGATCTTTGCCCAGAATTCACCCCAAAGGCAGAACCAGAAGAGAGCCCAGCGGCACTTATGAGCCCAGTAGTTCCAGCTGGGACAGCAGCAGAGCTCGAGAAATGTGGTCAGGGCGGAGGGAACGGGCCAGGCAGGAGGCGGGGGACTCCCATAGTGCAGGCAAGACGGTGCCCCAGGCCCTTTGCACGTCCAGGGGCCGAGACTGGCTCCCACACCCGGGCCCCGCCAACCTGCTAGCTCTTTCCTGACAGAGACCTGTGTGTCCCACGTGGCTTCTCCCACCCCGTGGAGATGGGCACTGAGGACTAACGCAGGGCCCGGGCTTCAGGAGACCCTGCTTCCCAGCTCTTCCTCGGACCCTTCATAAAGCTCACGTCTCACAGCTTCTTCATGACCTACGAGTGCTCTCCGAGGACGCTGCACCCCCTCCCTCTGGGCTGCAGCAGGACCTCGACGCCGGGTGGACCTCCGAGGGCCGGCCGCCGCGCTGTGATGCTCTGCCCCTGCCTGCATGCGGCCCTTCGAGAACAGCAGGTGCCAAGCACCACGCCAGCTCATAAGCAACGGGCACTCCATGCCGTGGGCTCCATCACCCCGAGAAAGAGCAATGGCCTGAGGGGGTGCGGGTGTGTCAGAGGCCGGCCGAGGAGCTGGGACCTCATCCCTTCGGCCGGAAGCAGCCCCAGGGCAGCCGAGGCTCCTGGCTGGGAGAGCACTTTGCACCCAACATGCTGCCACCGGAGCCCCGGGGAGGCCCTGAGTCTGCCTCCTCGCCGTGTCCGGAGGCCAGCTCCGGCCGGGCTCGCGGTGACCGCACAGGGTGGAGGTTTCCCGGGCTGACCACGTCCCCGCCCCCGGGAATCCGCGTGCAGACTTCCTGCCGAGAGAAGGCCGTTCCTCGCTAAGCCGCCACCTGTTGTTGGCGGTCGGGGGCCGGCACTGCCTGGCCTCAGTGGCTCGTTCAGACCCAGGGACAGCGTGTCCTTCTGTGGGACCCCGATGGTGTGGGGAACACAGCACTTACCCTGTAGTCAGTGATTAGCCCTGGAAAAGACAGAGGAAAAGAAAGAGAAACCGTCAGACACACGAATCACACGCCAGCCCGGAGCCCCGGAGCCAGACGGAAGGCGGCGCGTGGGCTGGTGGCCCTTCCCCAGGTGCCCGGGCACAAACGAGAAAGCTGGCCGTGACCGTCCCCGTCGGGCCGCTCTCCGTAGTCACAGAAGCCAGAGCACCTGAGAGTCCTCTGTTCCCCGTGGGAAGCGGCATCTGAGTCACGCACCACCCTGACTTCACACGCTCGCGCGTGGGGAGGGGGTGGCGCTGTCCAGTGGTCAGTATGTAGAAGAGGCATCTCCTCAGGGGTGTTCAGCTCCGTGACCTCGGAGCCGTCGTGTTGGCCCAGGGCAGACCCGTGCGTGCCCCACGGCTTTGCAGTGGTCACGGAGGTGACTGGCTTGCGTGGTGAATCTCGGGATCAGAGCGAGGAGAGGACACTGGACCAGACTCTCAGAGGCAGGACTTTGTACATGGAAACCCTGGGCAAGGAGTCAGTCTCTAAGTGCCCCCCGTCCCCAGGTCAGAGCAGCTGTGTGTGGTCCCTGCAGGCCTGACCAGGTCGACCGGGACAAGCCGTCCACCTACCGCCATCCCCTACCACCCTGCTCTTGGCCACTGTGCAGGCGGCCGGGCCTCTGTGTACCCCCCAGAAAACCTGAACCCCCAGACCCCAGCTCAGGCTGATAGCTGCCTGCCATCTGGCTGGGACAGACCTTGCCTTGCTCCACTGGTGTCTACAGTGGCGGAGACAGAGACAGGAAGGGTCGTCTTATGAGGTTCAACCTCCTGTCTCCTGAGGGATGCCGAGACGAAGCCCGTGTCACTCCCAACCCGTCCTGTCGGCCTCACACCTGGGAACGAAGCTGCCCCAAATGTCCCCATTGGTGGTCAGAGGCGCCTGGGGGCCGTCTGCACGCCAGCAGAGACGGGGTAACAGCTCCCCCAGCGCGTCGGCGTAAGAGGCGCGCAGGAGGAACTGGTCGAAAACCCAGATGACGTCGCGACCCACCTCCTAGTTCATGTCACTGCACTGTCCCCCCAGCCACCTGGCTCCTTAAATGTGATCACAATCGAGTGGCATCAGACACTGAGTTCTCCGGTCAGGCGGCCACCTCGGTGCCCAGTGGCCATGTCCCTGTGCAGCAGTCACTGTGCCGGAGAGCACACCAAGGCCTCGGCCAGCAGCCCCTGCGGCAATGGCTTTCCTCACACCGTGGGCTGCTCCGTCCGTGTTACGTGTCTGGTGAGTCTTTACGACGACACGGACACAGGTGGGGAGGGCGTGAAACAGCGGAGCCCCACGGGTCCGCAAGGACGCGACCACGACAGCAGTGTCTGCATTTCGCGGGGGGCTGTGGGCCCTCTCTGGCTCGCCGTCCACTCTTCTGCTTCCCAGCGCACAGTTTGAGAGAGAAAGGACCTGTCTGAACAGTCCCTGTGCCCCGTGGGACCGCCTGTCCCGTCACCAGCGCTGAGAGAATCATTGTTCTCGAACAAAGGCCTCTCTCTTTTGGTCCCAGTGCGAGGGCAAGTGTCCAACAAGAGAGCATGTGAACATCATGCGGTCCGCATTCAATCACCATGCAAACTTCATGCAAACATCATGTGATCACCATGCAAGCTGCATGTAAGCATCATGTAATCACAATGTAAACTGCATGTGAACATCATGTAAACTTCAAACATGCAAACTACATGTGACCATCATGTAAATGCCATGCAAACAACATGTCATCACCAGGCAAACACCATGCGAGCTTCATGTAAACATCATGTAATCACAATGTAAGCTGCATGCAAACATCATGCAACCACCATGTAAACTTCACACAAATGTCATGTAAATCACCATGCAAACTTCACACAAACGGCATGCAATCGCCACACAAGCTGTATGTAAACATCATGAGATCACCATGCAAACTGCATGTAATCACCATGTAAACTGCATGTGGACATCACATAAACCTCACACAAACACTATACAAACCACATGTAGCCATCATGTAAATGCCATGAAAAACACATGTGATCACCATGCAAACACCATGCAAGCTGCATGTAAACATCATGTAATCAGCATGTGAATGTGCAGAACAAACACACTTTGTGACGGGAACCACTCCCGCTGTTTGCTCCCTGGGTCCGGCAGGCGCTGTCTCAGCCCCGAGCAGCAGGGCAACAGTCCCCACCAAGGCCCCACTGAGCGGGGTTGTGGACGGAGTCTCGGGCCCGGAAGGAGCCCTCAGGGTGAACTGATGGACAGGAAGATGTCCCTGAGGGCAGATGTGGTCCTGGACCCGGTGACGAGAGGGAGGCGTCCTGAGGACCCGCGGGAGGGACGGTGCTGCGGCCTGGCCAGCGGCAGGGGTGTCGGAGGGGCCGAGGCCAGCAGGCAGACCACACGGGCAGGCCTGTGCGGTGTTGATGCCCTGGGCTCCCCAGACTTTGCAGGTGGCCTCTGGGCCTTGTTCGTGGTCCCAGCACAGGGCACAGAGAGCCGGTGTGCAAAAACAAATAGGATGGCGTTTGGGTGCCTGTCCTGCCCGGGCCTGTGACTTTCTCGTCAGTCCCCACACCCCAGCCAACGTCCCTCCTCTCCGCACAGTGGACGCACAGGTCGCAGAGCCCCTGGGCAGTCGTGACTCGTAGGTTCCGGCAGCAGGGCCCGCCCGCACCGGGAGCTGACCTCCAGGCCCACCGCCCGCCCGAGGGGGCAGAGCTTCCGGCCTCCACACCACACCCTGGAAGTCTCTGTGGATGGGACCGTCCCCTCGGCTCCGGGGCACTTCCTGCCAGAGCCGGCTCCGCAGGCTGCTCACCTGAGTCCTGGTGGCTGTGCTGCAGGTACACGGGGTCCAGCTTGAAGGCCCCCGTCAGGTCTGCTCTCCTCTTCACCCTGGTTTCAGAGAGGAAGCCATGAGGGTCAGAGGAGGCGTCTCAGCAGGGACTCCACCCCGGCCACCTGTCCCCTCCGCCGCCCGGGCCAGTGCGGGCTCACCTGCTCCGGGACCCCTTCGCCGGCCCCTCTGCACGGCCCCTCCTCTGCGCCCCAGCACCCAGGCTCACTGGAGCACAGTGTGAATCTCGAGCGCCGAGCGCCCGGGGGCAGGTGGCATAATAAAGAATAAATATTTGTCTTTGTCCCTGTTCCCAGCACACAGAGCCTGAACCCCTGGAATGTGTGCAGCGATGAGAGGGTCTTTTGTGTGCCCAGGAGATGACAGGTGGCCGGGCCCCTGGCTTCAGGGTGGGGGCTGGTTGCTGGGAAAACCAGTCATGATTGGTGGAGGGGAACTCAGCTCCGTTCCCCAGTCTCCAGGGAGGGAGAGGGCCTGGAGAAGGGGTTTATCACCGGTGGCCAGGGAGTTAATTAGGCAGGCCTCCGTGTGGACACCTCCCTCACACCCTACCTGCAGCCTCAGGGATGTGCTGGGCGGGAAGCTGCGTGCCCCTCCCCCCGCACCCCCTGGGCAGCCCCTCCGTAAGTGCAAGGAAATCTCTGTCCTGAGTCCTGTGACTTGTTCCAGAAAATCATCAAACCGGGGATCGTGGGAACCCCGACTTTATAGCCAGGTGGGACAGAGAGATACGGGTAGCCTGGGACCCGGTGCTGCCTGTGGCTTCTGTCTGAGCCTTGACCCTGCGGTGAAAGTGTTCAGGGTTGGAGTGCGGGGCACCGGCGGGGACCAGAGAGCTGGAGAAAGGGTGAGGACAACCCCAGCGGACATTTATTCCTGATGTCCCTCCAGCCCCAGCCTGGCCCCATGGGCGTTGTGCTGTGTGCAGGGCGACCAGAGGGCCGGCAGGGCCTAGGCCGTGTCCCAGACCTCAACCCTCCACTATCTGTGTGTCCCACGGAACAGGCACAGGGGTGACGGTCCTTCTTCACAACTCAGATCACGCCTCCGTGTGGATGGGGATTTATGGTTAGGGCCCCCCAGCCTCCTCTGGCCGCATGGGGACCCCTCAAAGCAATTTTGTGGCCAACAGAGTAGCTGAGGGTCAACTAGAAGTGTCGTTCTGAGGGTAGGTTGGGCTTGGAAGCAAGTGTAAGGTTCGGGTCCCTGAGAGAGAAAGCCAGTGAGCACGAGGTGGAATGTGGGGTTCCCAAGAGGACATGGGGGGAGGCTGGATTCCTTAGGCAGGGGGATGGAGCTGTTGTCCCCTTAAGGGCTGAAGGAAGGACGCGCCCGTGAGCTGCGTGGGGTGCAGCTCCGACCCTGGAGGGAACAGCACACCAGATATTGGGGTGGACAGGATTTTGTCGCCCCAAGGCCACTGCATGAGGACCCCTGCAGGCGCGCCCTCGGGGCTCCCTGTCCTCTCGCCGTCTTACAGGCAGGGGACACGCAGAGCGAAGGGGTGGTCGTACTCGTCCTCCCCCACTCTGATCTCTGTCACAAGGATCGCACGGCCCTCCCAGAGGCCAGGGTATCCTGCGAGCTGTTTTCTTCTCATTTAAAAATATTACATCGTGTTAAAACTACGTAAAAAAGGTGCCACTAGTAATGCATCTCCCCCGGCAGCTGTGAACCCACCCGGCCCTGGAACCCGGCGTCCTTCCCCTCGCCGCCGCCAGAGGGCGCCCGGCGCCGCAGAGGCTCCGGCGCCCACCGCCTGCTGAGCTGCTGCAGAAATCCCTGTCGTCTCTGGCACTGATTTGCACATTTCTAAACACAGCACACACTGTGGTTCCAGCCCAAATGGCATCCTTTTCGTGTCATTTTCTGCAGTTTGCCTTTTCTCTAAAGAAATGTATGCACTTCCCACACGTCCATCCGTGGGGGCCCGTTCATTCCTGTTTCTTGGCACAGTGGGGCCCGCCGGGTGAACAGGGCACCGTCCCGCTGCGGGGACAGGACAACCGTGGGACCGTCTGGCAGCCTGGGTGGAGGCGGCACTGGGGGACTCCCCAAGGTGGTGCCCAGAGCTCCTGCCAACACTCAGCTTGGACAGCTTTCTCCACCGGCCTCAGCGCTTCCTTCTGCCTGTAATTTGCATTTCTATTACCCAGGAAGTGGAGTAACTTCCAGTTTATTAAGAGGCTGCTGGGCTTCCTCGCTGGTGAGGAAATTTCTGTTCGTTTCTCTGTTAGCTGGTTTGCTCTGTGCCCCAACCAGCTGTGAAACTGACTACCTGGGATGCGGTGTCGGGGCTCCCCCTGCACCCTGAGGCGGCCGGGGCCTGATGCCTCGCTTCTCTTCACCCCCCTGGGCCGTCCTGGGCCCGGCAGAGACCACGCTCAGCTTCAGCCTGGTCCCCAGGGTCCCCAGCATCGCCCCGAGTTTGAACACAGAGCCTTCCTCTCCACGTAGGGGACACGCCTCTCCATTCCGTGAGGACGTCCGCTCTGGCTTCCGAAAACCGTACCATTTTCTTCCTAAAACTCTACCCTGGCTTTGCTACACAAGTTCGTCGTCACCTTATATCTCTTCTTGCTATTATATACAACATTTCTTTTTTAAAAAATACACATGCTGTCTATGGCCAAAAAAAAGTCATCTTAAAACACGTTGTGCAACTAGCAATTCTGCGTGTCTTTTGTTAATAACACTTTCACCGGGTTCTCTGGTCACTGCACAGTCCGCCAGCTAAGAATGCTGTTATTGCCTCTCTAATCACACTTTTACTTCTTATCTCTTATCTCCCTCTTATCTTCCACCTCTTATCTCGCTCAGGATGTGTGCTATCTCTCTCAGAGGACAAGTGTGGATTATGGAAACCCTTATTTTTTCCTGACTTTAAGTAAGTGCTTCTAATATTTCACCATTACGAATAGCTTTACTGTAGTTTTTTGGGAGATAATTTTTTTCTATCAGATTAAGAATGTCCTCTCCTGTTCCTATGTTACTAGGAGTTTTGTCCTGAATGGGCGCTGAATTTTACCTAATTCTGCATCGAACGTGATGAAAACGTTTCCTTTCTTTACTGTTAACGTGGTGAATGACATTTTAAAATCATCGAATGTTTTTAAGCCGCCCGGGCCTAGCTGGAGGACACGTGTTTTGGTCACGGTATAGTGTCTTTTTTAAAACATTGAATTTTCTTCCCTAACATTCGACTGATTGCTGATGTTTGAGCTGGCCGTGTGCTGTTTTCCCCGGCTTCTCCTCCGGCTTGGAGACCCCAGTCCCACCAGCGCATGGTGTGAGGGGGGGTACCTGCTGTCCTCAGAGTGACGCGTGACGGGACGACCAGGGCCTCACAGCGGGCAGAGCTGCCGTCCGAAGTGGGAGGTTTCCATCGCGTGGGACTCGGGTGCGGGCACAGTGTCTCTGCGAGCTAGATCTTTCAGGTTTTGTCATTCTCGGCGTCGTGTGGAAAGATGTCTGTAGTGATTGAATGTGTGTGTTTGCGGGCGATTCTGGCCTGGTGCTGCAGTCCCCCAGCTAGAGCCCCGTGTCCCCGTGTCTGCCCCGGCTGCGTCCTCCGTCTCCTCCGGCTGTGACCCACCTTTCCGGGGCTCGTCTCTTCTGAGGCAGGTCAAGGACCGGTGTGCTGCTCTGTGATCCGGGCCACGGCGCCCTGCTGTCCCGGTGCAGCGGCCCTTCGCCTGTGTGGCCTCCCTCCTGCTCGTGCTCGGGGCTCTCTGTGGTTGTCCCCAGCTTCGCTCCCGTGCGTCGTTTTCTGCCCGTTTTTCCGTTTGCGTCTGTGCTCCAAGTCCCGATGTGGCCACGTGACTGACGCAAGTTCAGTGGCAGCGTCGTGTCCTCCCGTTCTCGGTGTTTGCGATCCCCGTGGAACTGGGTTCGTGGTCCGTGACTCCAGTGGGTCCGGGTGTCTGCTCATCTGGTTCAGGGGTTTAGCTTTTCCTGGTGCAGTGACGGACCGTAACAGGGGCCTCAGCTCACAGACAGACGTGTGTGTGGTTGAGTGTGTCTGTGTGTGTGTATCTGTGTCTGTGTGTGTGTGTCTGTGTGTGTGTGTCTGTGTGTGTGTCTGTGTGTGTCTGTGTGTGTGTCTGTGTGTGTGTCTGTGTGTGTGTCTGTGTGTGTGTGTCTCTGTGTGTGTCTGTGTGTGTGTGTCTGTGTGTGTGTCTGTGTGTGTGTGTCTGTGTGTGTGTGTGTGTCTGTGTGTGTGTGTCTGTGTGTGTGTGTGTGTGTCTGTGTGTGTGTGTCTGTGTGTGTGTCTGTGTGTGTGTCTGTGTGTGTATCTGTGTGTGTGTCTGTGTGTGTGTGTCTGTGTGTATCTGTGTCTGTGTGTGTGTCTGTGTGTGTGTCTGTGTGTGTGTCTGTGTGTGTGTCTGTGTGTGTGTCTGTGTATGTGTGTCTGTGTGTGTCTGTGTGTGTGTCTGTGTGTGTGTGTCTGTGTGTGTGTGTCTGTGTGTGTGTCTGTGTGTGTCTGTGTGTGTCTGTGTGTGTCTGTGTGTGTCTGTCTGTGTGTGTCTCTGTGTGTGTGTCTGTGTGTGTGTGTCTGTGTGTGTGTGTGTGTCTGTGTGTGTGTCTGTGTGTGTATCTCTGTGTGTGTCTCTGTGTGTGTCTCTGTGTGTGTGTCTGTGTGTGTGTGTCTGTGTGTGTGTCTGTGTGTCTGTGTGTGTGTGTGTCTGTGTGTGTGTGTGTGTCTGTGTCTGTCTGTGCACACACACCTGCACAGAAACTTCCCCTGAAGGGGCCTCAGGTGAGGAAACTCCTGCAGACACAGCCCTGCAGGGGTCCTGAGGGGGAGGGGCGGCGGGGCTGAAAGGAAGGTTCTTAAGCCTCTCTTGAAAGCCCTGCCTTGGGCCTGCGGCCTGGAGCGGGGCTCAGGTTACCTCTCAGGGGCAGCAGCAGCTTAAAGACTTGGAGATCCTGTGGGACACCAGGGCCCAGCACAAAGGCACCGGCAGGAAGCCACAGGACAGAGCCCAGGTGGCCCAGAACCTTCTAGGACGTCCCCGGCCCGCGGTGACAGAGCTCAGAGGTCCACGCGACAGAGCGGACAAAAGCTATCAAAGTTTCCGAGATAACATTTAATTTGATTTGGGGGGGGACGTGGAGCCTCTTTCGAAAGACAGATGAAACATGCCCACGGGGTGCGTGGGCCTGGAGGCTTTCTTTGGAGGACAGCTGATGTTAAAGACACATTCAGATCTGAACAGAATGCTTCCTATTTACGTGTAAGAGAGTCAAAAAGCCAAAGAAAAGTGAAAAGCCCGTGAGCAGAATCATGACGTCATCATAGAGCGGATTTCAGCGGTGCTGGGCTGACTGCAAGCTTTGGAGACGCCCATCATGTCCATTTCAACATTCAGAAAACATGACCGACGTGCCCACCCTACATTGTGGACCGACCGTCGGGAACATTTCATTGAGCAGAAGAGGGGCGCTTTTCCCTTTAAATGGCACGAAGAGCCCAGGAGACAATGGAAAAAGACATCGGTTCTGAGCTTGCTTGTTGTGTTTGCAGAATCTTCAAGCCCGTCGACGAAAACTCACAGCGTGGCCTCCTTTGCTTGTCTGGCCCTCAGGGGCACAGCGGGCGCCCCTTCTTTCCTGAGACGCGCTTCCGCGAGCATCCTGCTCATGCGTGTTCTCCGTGTCTGGGCGTCTCCTCCCAGCCCGGTTCCCTCTTCGGGCCACACGTACGCCTTCTGACCGCGTGGTCCTCGGGCCTGCAGGGAGCCCCCGAGGGGGCCTTGGTCTTCATTCTCTCCCCATTCGCTGTTGCCAAGCGGCAAGGCACGGCCCGTCCTACCCAGCCCCCCGCCCCGACCTCCACGAGCGAGAGGCTCTGTCCACCGTCCGGCCGTGGCCTCCACGCCAGGACTGTTCAGGGTTCAGAGAGAAGGTGGGGTCAGTGAGACCTCGAACGAATGCAGAAGTGGAATCGGGGCCTGATTCTGCCTCATTCTCGGAAACGGCCCTCGCGTCCTGGCTTCCTCTGGGTGCATCGTCGCCGTCCCCATGTCCTGCGGCCGTCTCCGGGATAGAGACCGTTTCTTTTTTTTTTTTTTTTATCCTCACTCGAGGACATTTTTCCATTTTTTCTTCAGGTAGAGTGGGAGGGAGAGAGAGGAACGGAGAGAGAGAGAGAGAGAAACATCGATGCGAAAGGAACACATCGAGTGGCTGCCACCCGCACGACCAACCAGGGCCGGGGACAAACTGCAACCGAGGTACATGCCCTTAGCGGAAACTGAACCCGGGTCTCTCCAGACCGCAAGCCGACGCTCTAACCGCTGAGCCAAACCGGCCAGGGCTAGAGACCGTTTCTTTACAGGGATGAACCCGGGGACGCGTGGTTCTCGGCTGAGTCTCCTGGCCGGGTCAAGTCACCCACACTCGGCCTCACTGCTGTTAGCCACGGCATCTGGCTCGGCAGGGACTGTGGGCCGGAGACGGGACGTCGCAGCCGCAGGCACTCATCCCTGCAGCAGGGATAACCGGCACCGCCTGGGCAGCTGGGACAGGACTGAAGGAGCTGAGCACTCGACCTCAGAGCAGGGCCGCTGCCGATGCACAATCGTGTGTGGAGCAGCACGGTTGGTAGGAGCTGTGACTGGAAACAGGGTTTGTATTTTCCTTCCCTAGGGAGCCTGGGGCTGGGGCTGAACACGGCGGAGTCCCCTCCAGCCCGGAGACAGTGTGGCCCTTGTTGTCCTTGGTCTGGACAGTCTGGACGGGGAGGCCCTCAGGCAGACCCTGTCCCACCAGCGTGGCCACCCGGGACTCCTGGGGAGGGGCCTGGAGGGGAGCATGGTGGGCCCAGAGCGGGCTGACGCTGACCTCATCCCTGCAAATGTTCAGAGAGCGACTTCTTTGTAGGGGGAGGAACAAGGAAGGGCTGTTTGGGTGCAGAGAGATCAAAGGCACATACGTTTGCAAGAGTCAAACAAGTCGGAAGTAGAGGCATCATTAAGAAGCTAGAGTTTCAAATGAGCTGACCCGGCTTAAATCCCTAAATATTAGCCTAATGGCTTTTACTGGCCGTTTCTTACGAGCACTGTTATGGGCTGGACTGTCACCTCCCCCAAATTCCAGTGCCGCAGTCCTAACCCCCAGTCCCTCAGGAGGTGACGCAGCTGGAGACAGAGTCTGTTAAAAGGTGACTGCATTCAAATGAGATCCTGGGGCTGTGCCCTCGTCCAGCGTGACGGGTGTCCTCCCAAGACTTATTACTCTAATAAACTTAAAAGAACCGGTGTCTCGTGTTCCGTGACACGCCTCATGGTCACTTCTCTAAACATTGTCTGTGTGATGGAACGGGGTCCACTTTGATGTTGCAAACACAACGTTGTGACTATGGCGCAGCTACTACGAGGATCCGGGGGAGGTCTCGGGGCACAGAACTCCCTGTGCTGTTTGTCAGCATCTAGACTTCAGTTTGGGCAACATTCAGACGAACACACAGAAGCGGCCAAACTAGAGATCGGTCCTGAGCTTCCCCGAGTTTGTTTCCGGTTAATGCTGCCGGGTCAGTCAGATCACAGACGGCGCGGCCAGCGTCTCTGTCCGTGGGACAGCGTACCCTCCCACCGTGCTCTGGGTGACACAGTCCACCAGGGGTGGGTGAGCGGTGATGGCATCGGGGTGGGGATGGGGGCAGGCATGAGAGGGTGCTTCTGAGCCCCCAGCCCTGGGTCCCCGCACCAGCCACGCTCCCACAGAGCCCTGGGTGCAGGGCCGTTGTCAGCTAGTGAACAGAGGAACTTACCACATGGCAGAGCAGTCGAAATTCACCAAGAGCCACTTGTGGGGGTTAAAATTAAAGGAATCTGCAAACTGCCAAGAAATAACAAAAACAAAAGGAACACACTTGAGTTATTCACGTGTAGTGCAAGGCAAGACCCCGTACATAATCGTTAGCGCGTGTCTGCAAGGGAAGCGGGGGACCCTGCGGAGGTCCAGGCTCCGGGACCCCTGTGGGCAGCCCTCGGACCTGTCAGAGCCCGTCCATTCCCGTTCTGGTGGCAATAACCAAGCACACCTTGTGACAGGTGAAGCCACCCCAGATCCGGAACTGGGCTGGACTCGGGAGCAGGAGGTGAACGCTGGAGTGGGAGAATCGGGGTGCACGTCCCAGGGGTCACAGCTGCCAGCAACTGGCCACTGGGGCCACTGCCCGTATATGGAGGTGCCTCCAAGTTTTCCAGCCGATAATGAGAGATTTCAACTCCTGGGGGCCCAGGAGCGCGCTCCCTGCTTGCGCAGAGGGGCCCTGAGTGCCGCCGCCTTCTGCTTCACTGACCCAGCACTCTGCATTCTCCTCGGACGGGGGCCAGGACCTGGGTTTCCTGCGGGGCCGGGACACGGCCATGAGGCTGGCTTGTCCTCGAAGGGCCATAAAGGCGTGGCCACGGGAGGCCCTCTTCCGGCCGAGCCTCCTGATGGAAGACTTGGAAAAGTTCCCGAGGCTCCTCTGTGTGGTCCCAGGATGAGCCCCGAGGAGGCGGGGGGGGGACAAGGGGCCAGGTGGGCATGAGCAGGACATTGGTCAGCTGATGGGCCCGCTCTGGGGGTGCAGATTCATTTCCTTCCAGGCTTCAATAAAAGTCATTTTGAGAAAGAGACAGGAAATTACAAGGAGTTTCGTCTGTTGATCAAAGGTAACAAAAGGTGAAGGAAAGGCTTTGTTTGCCAGGAATGTTATTAGCTCGCTCCTGGGGGGCTGATCTGTTTAAACTTCTTTCATTACCCAACTGCAATATCTCCACCCTGCTGGTGGAGAGAAGGCTCTTATCTCCGGCAGGACCCAGACAGGATATTGCAGCCGCTTATCTGCACAGCTGAGCCGAGCACGGGGCAGCCGGCAGGAAGGAGTCCCAGCGACGGGAAGATGCCGACCTCCTCGCGGGGCGTGAAATCCTGCCCGCGGCGGGGTCTGACTCGGAGGCGCCCTGGGAGAGGTGAAACCTCCAGTTCATGGGGAAGAGAAGGGAGTCGCAGGAAAAGGTCTGAAACCCTAAACCCGGCGGTGAGAAAGGACCAGGCCCGGGAGAGGCACACAGACCCCCAGGAACCCCTCGGCCTTCTTCCCTCGCAGTCAGTCCCCCGTGTGCGCGCCGTCCCCACCACAAAGGTGTTCCGACGGCAGAGGGGTGTGTTCTTCACTTCCCAGCACCCAACAAAACCAGAAATCAGCAGAGGGCTGGGTGTCGGCACCCTACTGTCCGATCTCACCCCCCCCATATCACAGGGGTCCGGACCTCTGTTTGCACCTGTAGGAATGATCTCAGCCCTCGCGTGCAGTCAGTGACCAGTAAGTCATTGCCGAGGGCACGAGGGAAGGAGGGAGTGGACTGCAGGCAAAATAAACCAGAAGGCTACCTGCTCATCAGTACCAAAGGGCCCTTCCCTCTCAAAGATGGGGGCCTTTGTATTCCGCCCCTGCGCACCCCACTTTCCTGGCATTGCAGCATTACCGGTCCACGCGGGTCATGAGGAAATGACCCCTCCAGGCCCTGCTGAGGATTCATCACAGTATCCGATGCACGTACAGGGTGTTCTGTGTGCCAGGTGCGGCCCATCAAATGTGATTAACTCCCCTGGTGCGTACAACAGCCCCTCGCAGGGGTGGCGGCTGAATCCACCCCCTGAGCCCTGGCGAGGGCCCCTGCCCTGCCCTGCCCGAGGGCACACAGCTGGTGCTAGGGTCCTTCTGGGGTCCACACAGGCACCTCGTGCCGTCATCCTGCACCTGTGCGTGGCGAGGTCTCACGAAGCCCCGCCCGAGCGCAGAGCCTGGGCTGTGTCTCCCCCAACACGTCCCCTCCCCGCACGTCTGAGTTCCGGGCAGGGAGGAACTTCCTGCCCCATGAGCTGCCACCACCCACGTGAACTCCTGCTGGAACCTACAGTGACCCAGAGCTGGGCCGCAAGGTCAGGTCCGTGTCCATGGGCAGCCCTGCGGGGAGCAGGGCCCTAGACCCTGCTGGCTGCTCCTCCTCAAAGGAAGCAGGGGTTCTAGTGGGCAGTCAGGCCCGTGGTCCACGTGCCACAAGGATGCTGAGAGGCACCGGGAGCCGCTCGCTTGACCCGAGGGAACACGCACAGCTCAGGTGCCTGCTCAGGCCACGGCCATCACGTGGAACCGGGCCACGTGGAATCACGGCAGTATTTCCCAGCGTCCCTCCAGGGGACACGTGTCCCGTGGTCATACTGTCCCTCAGTGCATGCCCACAGCTTCATAAACCGACACCTCTCCTGACCCAGAGCTCTCCCGGGATCTGTGCAGACTGGACTCGAGTTGCATGCGAGGGACCCTACGGGGGCACAGGCCGCGTACCCCACCATCGAGTGCCCTGCCGCCAGAAGGCGGGCTCCCGAGGGTCTCTGTGGTCAGCCTGGAAATAAGCTGTGCAGACAGGGACGATCGCACCCTGCTGAGCAAACACGATCACACGGGGGCTCTCCACGCGGCGTGACGGGGACCCACACCCACCTCCACGCCGTCCAGAAGGTGCCGGAACTCGGGGCAGATGAAGGCGCTGCCCGCGTAGGCGGCGTCGATGTGCAGCCACAGGTTTTCCCGGTCACCTGAAAGCCAAAAGCCACCTGTGAGTTCACGAGGGACTGCCCGCCGGCCTCCTCCCGGCCCAGAGCCCCCAGGAGCACTCGGGGTCCCTGAAAGTCTCTCACCCCGAAGGCTGACGCCCGGCGTGCCTGGCACAGACGGGTGCTCACTGCTGCGTGGCTAACGCGGGAAGACAGAAGGATCCTTCCAGGCTGACCCCCAGGCCCTTGAGGCCCTGACCCCACCTTGTTCCAGCTCCACCCTTTCTGCGCCCTCCCACCCCTCGGCGCACAGGGTCTCAAGTCCTCCCACGGTGTGGCTGGACAGGTCCTGCGCAAGGCCCGCAGGTGGCGCTCTGCCCCGCCCTTCCCCCCCCCCCCGCCGTGTCCGCGCTGTGTCACGCTGTCTGAAACCAGCCTTCTTCCTTGGGGGAACGTGCTTCTGTCTCCCAGCCTTGGGGACCTGTGCTGCTGGACGGACCGCGTCTGACTTTGGAGGGAAAGTGTCCTGTTTGAACAGTCCCTCCATCCAGATGTGCCGGGTTCCCTCCGGCCTCCGCCCACGGCCACAAGGCCTCTCCCTCCTCCAAGCCGGTGGAGATGGAAATGACCCCAAACTCGAGGGATAAAGAAATCCAGTTTGGACATTTGCCCCATCACTGTGGATACCTTCCTTAACTACATCCTGCAGCTTCACGGAGGCTGAGTGGGGGGCACGGGGAGACCTACTTCAAGGGCGGGCAGGACTCCTGTCCTGTGCACACCGCCCTCCTGCAGGGCGAGCTCGAAGGGGGCCCTGTCCTCCCTGGGGCACCTCGGCCTCGGGTCTTAAAGACGAACAGTGTGGGGACACAGCTAAGCGCTGCTCTTGTCCAATTAGCCCAAACTCGGAGTTTGGGGAATTCAAGATAACGAGGTTTGGGTCATGGCAAATATTCAAAGAGTCTGGCAAACCATCGCCATGTCAAGTAGCACGCCGATGCCGTCGTGTGTTTATCATAACGTCGGGTGAACACTATGGAGGAGACCCTGAGGGAGGTCGGCCAGGCTCCCGTACACGCCCTGAGGACTCAGCACAAAGTGAGCAGCACTTACAGATGGGCCCCACTTCTGAGATGCTGTCGAAGGAGCAGCAGGACGTGGTCCCCAGGGTCGCCACCACCTGGGGGGACAAAGCAGACGTCCTGTCAGGCCCCCGTGTCTGGGTCTCCGTGATGACCTCCACCTGGGCAGACCCCAGCGCCTGGAAGGCGGGTCGGCGGCTGCTGGCGGAGACACGACTGAGCAGGGGCGTCCTCTCGGCCGGGGCGTCGTGACGTGGAGAGGTCTGCCCAGGGAGAGCGAGGCTCAGGGACTGGCACAGGCTCTCCCGTGGCGTGACGGGCAGAAACGGAGCCCGGTCCACGCCGGTCCCCACGCTTGGCTTTGTCTGCAGAAGCTGCTGTTCACTCTGAGAGTGTCTTTCCTTCTTGGAGGGGGAAGTCTGGACTTTTCCTCAGCTTGGTGTGTGTGCGTGCGTGTGTGTGTCTATATGTGTACCTGTGTGCGTGTCTGTATGTCTGAGTGTGTGTGTACATCTGTGTATATGCGTGTCTGTATGTGCTTGTATGTGTGTCTGTATGTCTGAGTGTGTATGTGTGTATGTGTGTGTGTATGTGTGTGTCTGTATGCCTGTGATAGTGTGTGCCTGTGTGTATATGTGTGTATGTCTGTTTGTGTGTCTGTATGTCTGAGTGTGTATGTGTGCATGTCTGTGTGTCTGTGTGTATGAGTGTGTACCTGTGTCTGTGTGCATGTCTGTGTGTGTCTGTGCGTCTGTGTGTGTGTGTCTGTCTGTGTACCTGTGTCTGTGTGAATGTCTGTGTGTGTGTCTATGTGCAGACATGTGTGTCTGTGTGCATGTCTGTGTGTGCGTGTCTGTGTCTGTCTGTGTGTGTGTCTGTGTGCATGTTGTGTGTCTGTGTGTGTGTCTGTGTGCATGTCTGTGTGTCTGTGTGCATGTCTGTGTGTCTGTGTGTCTGTGTGGGTGTCTGTCTGTACGCGTGTCTGTGTGCATGTGTGTGTGTGTGTCTGTGTGTGTCTGTCTGTGTGCATGTCTGTCTGTGTGTCTGTGTGCGTGTCTGTGTGTCTGTGTGCGTGTCTGTGTGTGTGTCTGTGTGTGTGTGAGCACAGTGCACAGGAAGCACACTCACAGGAACACACTTCTAGAACAGCCCCGGGGTTGGTTCAGAGCCGCCAAGTCTGACAACTCCCACTGGGGAGCTCTCAGCTCACGGCCACGAGTCTCCTGAAGGGCTGGTCCCCAGGATGAGCTCTGGCCGGGGACTTGCTCTCCACAGAGCCCTGAGAAAGCACTGGGCACCGCTGGCCACAGGGGTGGGAGACACGGACGGATTCCCGGCCACTCCTGCCTCCTGAGCACCCGGGATGCTGGGCCAGTGCCCGCCTCGCTGTGTGGTCCCACGTGCCGGCTCTCCTGCGTCTGGTGTGCGCGGCTGGAGGTCCATGCTAGGCGGACACAGACGGTGCTGGGTGCAACTCCCCAAGTGATCGAAACATCTCGTTTACAAAAGAGCTTCTCTGTTCACAGAAAGCAGATTGTGTTTACCAAAGAGCCGGGGTGACTAGTCTGGATGGCGAAGTTCCTTTGATGGGACGTGTGCACAATGTCATTCAGTCCACGTAGCTTCACTGAGCCCCACGGAGGACGTGAGGGCAGAGCTGGGGGACGGAGGCCTTACCGCTTCTCTGAGAGCTAAGGTGGCAGGTGTCTACCCTGTGGGTGGCCCGGCTGATGGGCCCTAGACTGAGCGCCTGGGCAGGACTGGTTCTAAAGCAGGTCCTGAAGACACTGTGTGGGGGCTCGAGCATTCATGGGGTGCCCCTGGGGGAGTCGGGGTGGCCCTCGGGCCTGGCAGGAGCAGGATGCTTCAAAGGTTCCATTACTACTGGGCGTGGAGAGGCCAGCAGATTGGGGGCTCCTGCCATGAGAAAGGCAGTTTCTCCACCAGAAGCCCCAGGGAGGAGGCCCCCACCACACCCCGCCGCGCCCCGCAGCGCCGCTCCAGGGTCACCCAGGAGCGCAGGGAGGGAGACATGGGCAGGACCTGCGCTGTGCTCACGGTCAGCAAGGCAGGGCGCGCAGGCTCGGGACGGGCCAGTCTGCATTCATTCCTGGCTGCTCTGGTTGTCTGGTCCGTAGGTCTGGGGTGATGAGGGTGGGGTGGCTCTGGGGGTCAGAGCCCCACAGAGGACATGCAGGGGTCCCGCAGGCTCTGGAGTGGCCAGCTTGCACCTCAAAGTCCAAGTGGAGGGATCCTTTCCTGGCTCTGGGGTTTGGCTGTCCCTGGGGGCGGGGCGGGGAGCAGGGGGAGGGGGTCCTCCAGGCCAGCAAGGTCTCTCCAAGGTCAAAGCATCAGAAACACAGAAATGAAAAGGCACAATGAACACACATTTCAGCCAAGCACCTGGAGCCGGATGACAGGCTGGAGGCCCAGCTCTGTCATGTTGGCACCTTGCTGTGCTCGGGCTTTCTCACCGCACACCCGGGCTGGTCCTGGCGCCGGCCCGTCTGCAGGTCTCGACGGTGCCCCCCCTCCCACCTCGGCATGCCTGTCCGCACCCCCGTGAGTGCCTCCCACGGCGAGGGCCACGCATTCCCCGCGGCGGCGGCATGCGTGGCAAGACGCCCACCGAGCTGGAACTGGAGTCAGTGTGTAACTTCTCCCCGATAAGCTTTATCAGCAACACCCAGCTCCCGGGGAGCGGGGGGCTCTTCAAAGGCTTTGTTCTGTCATAAAGAGAGTAGTGGAGATCGCAAAGAGTAGCCGTTCCCCAAACCCGGGACGACTTAACCGTCTCAATATCGCTTATAACTCATTGTCTCAAATTTAAGAGTCTTTTAGAAATGACACTCTGGCCGTTCGGCAGTTTCTTCTATCTCATCTCATTTTTCTCAGATAAACTGAATTACATGCAATCGCTTCTGTTTGTAAAGTACACAGATAATAACCGTGCCCGCGCCGAATTATTTTTGTACCTATTAATGTGTGCGCAGAAGCCCGGAATGACGGGGACGCGACATGAACGCTGTGTATCTCTCAGGATGAGCTTCGGGCTAATGTAATTATGGGGGTGGTGGTTCTGCGCACGGGGCACTTTGCAAAAGTAATCAGCAAGGCCTGGTCCTGGCAATGGCCACTGGCGAGACTAAGAAGAGGTGACATTTCCTGAGTGCTCACCCTGAGGCCTGGGCTTTGCAGCCGTAACATCCAGGCCTCGCGGCAACCTGATGTGTGGGACCCGGTCATGGTGTCCACGTGACACTGACCTACATGAGACACCAGAGGCGGGTCAAGGACACACTGAGAGATGGCACCCAGGTGTGGTCAACTCTGTTGTCCATCCAGTTAAGGAACCCAGCGCCCTGGGCCGTGCCAGAGTCCCCGCCAGCTGCCCTAAGGCCCCTGCGGCCCAGGGGGTGGCCAGGGGCCAGCCGGCTCTGAGCCGGGAGGTGCCAGGGGGCCCCTTCTGCTCAGGGGCCCGGTGGCTGCGACTCAGCCGTCCTAATTCTCAGAACCGCTCCTCGCCGAGCACCTGCTCTGCTCCAGGCTCTGATTACCCCGCTCAGCTCAGTGACGCTAACCTGATTTCAGCAGAGGCCTAATCACATTTGTGAGGGGGAGGCAGGGCGGGGACCAGGCTGGCGCCCCGTCTCCGAGAGCCCCGGGCCTCCTGCTGCCCAGGACGTGTTCCCTCCCGGCGCCTCCCCTGCCGGCTTGGCTGGGCTGCCCTCTGCCTCCGGCCGCTGCGCAGGTGGGAGGGTGGCCGCCTCCCCGGGGAGCTGTTACCAGCCCAGGGCCTTCCTGGAGGGCAGGGGTTCACTCTCTGGGTTCAGACCTGCCCAGTGCACCCCTGGCTCTCAGCAGGGGTCGTGAACTTTGAGCGGTGTGCCCCCCTGAGCATATAACGAAGCCTGTTGCATGGGGTGGTTCTGCATGTGCAGAACTATAGCCACTCGCCGTGGGAGTCCAGGCCCAGGCCGCTGCCCTCAGGCCGGGCTGCTGACTCTGGCTCCCCAGGCCCGTGTTGCTGGTGTAAGAGAAGCCTGGGCTGCAGGGACGGGAGGGACAGTGGTGCCCCGAGCAGCGCCCCCCAGTCCGGGGTGCACACGAGGACCCCGAGTGGCTGTGAACCGTTCCCAGTGCCTGGCTCCATCCCCGGAGACTCTGGTGAAACAGAACTGGCAGGGCCTGGACACCGGTCCATGTCGTGGCTCCCAGGGGACGCCAACAGGCAGCCAGGTGGGCAGGGTAACTCCTCCAACAGTCAGGGTGAGGGTTCCAGGGCTCTAGTTGCCATGCCAACCGTTCCTCCCCCGCGGAAAACACCTGTCTGCACAGGACAGCCGGGTGCTCCTGGCTGCTTGTCTCTCCCGCCAGCGACTCTGAGTGTCTGGACGGCACAGTCGGGCCCAAGGCCGGAGCCTGCCATGCTGGCCTCTACACAAAGAACCTCGCACTCACCACGCGCCTCACCGGTCAGGAGGAGGGCCGGCGCCTCCCCCTAGCAGGGTCCTCCCTGGGGCTCTGCCCACTTCCTCCTGACCCTTCCCCCACCCCAGCCTTCCTCCAGGAGGGGGCGGGGCCTGGGGGCCGCCTGGCCTGGGACCCCCTGGGGCTGCAGAAGGCCTGGCGCCGCCCTCCCTGACTCCCAGGGGCCGGTGGAGCCCTGAACTTACAAAGAAAGGAACCAGCCCCGCAGCTCTGTCCCTCTCCAGTGCCCCCGTCAGGGCCGAGGCCCCCCTGAACTTACAAAGAAAGGAACCAGCCCCGCAGCTCTGTCCCTCTCCAGTGCGCCCCTCAGGGCCGAGGCCCCCCTGAACTTACAAAGAAAGGAACCAGCCCCGCAGCTCTGTCCCTCTCCAGTGCGCCCCTCAGGGCCGAGGCCCCCCTGAACTTACAAAGAAAGGAACCAGCCCCGCAGCTCTGTCCCTCTCCAGTGCCCCCGTCAGGGCGGAGGCCCGCATGGCGAACTTGCCGTCTGAAGGGATGGCTCTGAACTTCACTCCTCCGATGAGCGCGGCCCTTTCCACGGAGCAGTGGGCCTGCGGAGAAAGCCCAGTTAGCGGGAGCTGCCCCTGTTGGCCCTGGGTCCCGGCTCTGCGGAGGGGCCCGCGGACCAGGCTCCGCTACACCTGCCCAGACGGCTCGCACGCCCTGCCTGCTCCTTCTGGCCAGTCTGCTTCCCTCACCCCTGCAGGCCCCAGAGCACCCCCTCAACACTGGACACCCCAGCCCTGCAGCACTGGACTGGAGAGTCAGAGAACACTGCCCAGAGCCCATCGTCCTGGCGGTGGGACGAGTCCCCCTCCCCCCCGGGCAGCAGACGGCACCCGCCATGCACACCCTCGGGGGAATGGACACAGAACTAGCCTCCCTCATTGACCCCCCAGAAAGGCCGCACCCCAACATTCGCAGCCACTTCTCTCCAGCTGTATTTGCTGAGCACCCTCGGGTGCAGTCCTTTCTCGTGCCCCCTGCCTTCAGGGACACGAGGGAGGTGTGAACACGCAGGGAGGCCCGTGTGCGTGCCGAGGCCGAGCACGGAGAGTCCTCCCGACCCAGCACTGAGCTGTGGGCCCGGAATGGCTTCCAGGCTGCGGAGAGTAATTAACTGGGACAAAGTTGTCACAGTTGAGATGCCTGGCCTAAAAATGTATTCAAGATAAGCATGTCAGCCGCACGAGCTCAGCCGTCCGCGGAGCCCGCATTCTTGCGGGTGGTGCCTTCATACTCGTGCTGACCTTTTGACTCCAGCGTCCCTCCCACAGCCGCTCTGCTGCTGGGTTCTCTCTCCCTCAGCTGGTTCTCACACGACGCTGGTCTGGTTTGCTTTTCCCAGCCTTTCCCGCGGGGTCCCTCACACCACTGCTCACAGAGCTCTGTGCCCTCGGTGCTCAGGGCGGGGCCCGCGGGGGACAGCGGCACCCGGCACGGCTCTTGTCTGTTTGCCGGTGGAGAAGGCTCTGAGAAGTGACGTGATTTGCCTGAGATCGTGGAACTTAAAGTAGTGGAGCTGGGTTAGGAGCAGAAGGCTCTGGGCCTGTGTCCCTTGTCCCTCCAGGACACTCTGAAGGGAGCCAGCGGCCCCGGGGGGCCAGTGCGGGGGGCCAGCTGGGCCCCGTGACCCACACGGCATGTTTTCTTTCTTCTGGGTTCACTGCGCCCACACCTGCGCCTGCACCTCCTCGCTGGTTCAGGTGACTGTCCCCCAACACCTGAGGGGCTGTTCTGAGTGGACAGGGTGCTGCAGGGCCTCGTTTTGTCGTGATTGGACGTAAGGCAGAACCCACGGGTCTGGGCCCAGGAGGGTGCACTCACCTGGTCCGACGCGTAGGCCACCAGCTTCTCCAGGACGGCGGCTTCTGGGAGCCCCGGCTGGGCGGCCTGCAGCTGGCGCGTGGCTCTACTCCGAGCGGCCAGCAGGGCCACCAGGGTGGCTTCGCTGGCACTGCCCTGATCAGAGAGAAGGCGGACACGCGCATCAGGCCCAGCAGGGGGGTCGGGGTCTGACCGGCGGGAGACGCATCACTGAATCTCCGCATTTCTCTGAACAGATGAGCCTGAAACTGCAGAGCACCCCGCTTTGCACAGGGGCGCTCGGGGCCCTGGCCTGCTTGTGCTGCAGTTCGGTCACGGGAGGGGGGGGGACCGGCAGCTGAGCGGGGCTCGGGGGGCACGACCATTTGGATGCAGACATCTGCTTATACGTGGGGTGCCTTTTCCTGGGGACTCAGGACTCGCCTTGGAGGATTTCCCCCTGGGCCCAGTATGAGGGCTGAATGGTAACCTCCCAAATTTCTTAAGTTGAAGTCCTAACCCCAAGAACAGAATGGGCCATGTTCGGGTAGTTGGAGGTAAATCTTTACAGAGATCACAAAGGTTAAAGGAAGTCATTAGAGGGGTCCTACTCCCCTCCGGCTGGTGCCCTCAGAAGGGGGGGGGACGGCGAGGGAGCACACAAAGGGCGACCATGTGCAGACACAGAGCAGACCGGCCTCCACTGGCCGCGGAGAGAGGCCTCGCAGGGACCCAGCCCTGCCCCCACGGCCGGCTCAGATTCCCAGCCTCCAGGACTTCGAGGTAATAAATCTCCTCTGCCTCAGCCGCCCGGTCTGTGGCATTTAGTGATGGCGCCTCAGCAAATGAACACAACCCATGCCAGCAGCGTATTTCTGCAAAGTTGTAGAGAACGGCACCCCCTGCACTCCCCCGGGTTCGACCCCGCACCACCCCCACCCCGTTTAATGTTCTCAAATGCCAGCTTCAGGTGGGGAACCAGGGCTTGGAGAGGTGGATTAACGTGCCCCCCCCTCAGGGGCGGGGGCCCGGTGAGGACGAGCCCACGCTGTCCCGTCTGGACAGCAGGGCCCCCCGTGTCTGAGCAGCCCCCCCCTTCCCACTGCTTGTGACCACTGAGCCGTTTGTAAACCGAGAAGAGACCCTGGAGCTGAACAGGATTAATGTTCGAAAGAAAAAAATTAAAAGGTAGGTTTTAGTGGACTGTGAGAAAGGGATTTATGAGGTTTTAGAGTTTCACAGAGAAATGTTCAGTACAAAAGTGGAGGTTCACCTCTCTTGTTCAAACTGATCCCCTCGCGTCGGAACTGAGTTCCTGCTTTTGTCTGCCCGTCGAGCGCGTTCTCCCCTTTAAGCCAACTCGGATCCTCGGGGAGGCGGGCGAGACGTGCAGACGGAGGTGCCCACGCGGCGCTCCGGCGGGGACCCACACACCCCAGTCCTCTGCGGTGGGCTGCGCCTGCTGCAGGCCCCACGTCACTGGCCGTGATTCAGGGGCGGCGTGGACACCCACGCTCGATGAGGTCAGAGCCAAGGCCGGCAAAGCCCGGGAGGCGGCGGCGGCGGGATGTCCGAGCTCCCTGAGGTGGGCACGGGGCATGACCACTGTGCCCCGACCCTGTGTCCTGGGTCCTCAGTCACCCTCATTGGAAGCCGACAGGCTCCCTGAAGGCCCAGCTCCGGAGGGAAGTCCTTCCCCCTCGGCCCTCTCGTGGGGTTGCAGACGCTCTCCTGCCCCGTGACCCCATCATGCCCTCCCTGCTCTGAACCCCGCTCCAAGGCAAGGCTGGGGACCACTGTCCACTCATCAGGTGCTTCCGTGGGGCTCTGTCCGCATCCTGAGACGACTCCCCTCCCTCAGGCGACAGAATGACTTCAGCCCGGCCCAGTGACACCACTGTGCGCCGAGCCCAGCGCCGGCCGAGGACAGTGGGCGTCCTGGCCCTGCCTGGAAGCAGATTTCTGCCAAGGGCGCAGTGGGGGTGCTGCCCTTGTGCTGAGCGAGCATAATGACATCTCTGCCGTGTCACCGCGGACAAAGGTTGCCATGGCGAGCCCACCGCGAGGCGGCCGCGGGGCTGCGAGCGGAAGCGGCGGCTCATCTCCCGGGCGCTCAAGGGTCCCCCACACAGGACGGAAATGGCTTTCCTTCCACAAGAGCTTTCAAACTCAATCAAGAGCCCATTTGCAGCCTGTGTATCCAGCTCACAGGGTGATTTGACATTTGCCTCGGACGCCCCTCGCCGCTCCGCTGCGGATGCCGGCAGCCGTGATTACGGCTCTGAGGGGCGCGGCGTCCCCCGCCGCCGCCGGGCCCCAAGGCCGGCACCCAGCTCGGCTCTCGGGCCTCGGGAGTCACAACAATCCCCGTGTCCGCCAGGCGGGGCGAGCTTCCCGCCGCAGACAGGCTGGTCCCCGCGCGTCAGCAAACGAGCGCATCGGGGTCCGAGGGGCGAGTGCGGCCCAGGGCGGCCAGGAACATCCCAACCAAACAGGAGGCTTCTGCCGACTGGGAAATGGAACCGACTTGAGGAAGGAGGCGACAGAGAAGTACTCGCGGGGGCGTGCACAACCCCGAGGGGCGTCCCAAGCAGCGGTCGGGGTGAGGGGTGCAAGCTCGCAGGCCCGGCACGTGGGCCCTGGAAGCCGAGAAGACGGGCCGGGCTGGAGAACCTTGGCCGGGAGAAAACCGTCCCATCGGGAGCTGAGCGTGTCCGTGGCTGACACGTGGACGCTGCTGCTACGTGGAGGTCTGAGCCGGGCTCACAGCACAGGGAGGCTTTGCTCCATCATAGCACTCTGTACGCCCTGCTCGGGTCCAGTGGGGGGCCCGGGAGCCCGCTCGCTGGGCACGGAGGTCCCAGAGAAGTCCCTGCGGTCCCCACCTGCAGCCCGGTAAGCAAGGCGGGTCCAGGAGCTGTCGGGGTCACCTCAGAGCGCAGACTCCCGGGCCCACCCTGCTCCGTCCCATCCCATCTCCAGGGACAGAGTCTCGGTCACCCACACTCTGGGAGTGGTCAGCAGGACAAGGGCCTCCCCAAGATGTCTCCACCTGGATACCCAGGGGACAAGGGATCTGGCTGATGAGATTAAGCTAAGAGCCTCGGCAGGGATTTCTTTGGATCATCTGCGTGGACGGTGGGCCCAATCCAATCACATGGGTCCTGAAACATGGAGAACCATCTGGCCGGAGGGAGGTGTGGGTGAAGGAAGGGTCAGCAAGATGGAGCCCATGGCTCTGAAGATGGAGGAGGGGCCCTGGCCAAGGGCGCGGGAACCTTCCAGAAACCAAGGGACGCCAAGGGACGCTTCTCCAAGGCGCCCAGCTGGACTGCAGCCCCAGGCCCGCGCAGACGCGAGTGGAAGGCCCGGCGAGCCCCACAGCCTCAGGCCGGAGACCGACGCTGCGCTCGGGGCACCTCGGCCACACCCGCGAGGCCCCCGCATGCTCGGGCCCAGTGGGCAGCTGTCAGCCCAGATTTGGAGCCTTGGCGGACAGTGTCCGAGGAGGCCAAACCTGTGGTCCAGCATGACCAGAGCTTCCCCAGCGCTGTCCCTGCACAGTGGACGGGAGGAGTGGTGGAGGCTTCAGTAGTGTCCGCCTTCCCCACGAGCGAGGACGCCCCTCGTACCGTCGCCCAGCGGCGTGTGCCCTGCAGACCTCTGGGCAGACCTGCACCGTGACGGCCCTCGGCCCTGTGTCTGTCTGGTCCCCTGACGCCGCCCTGCCCCATGGCCCCCTCAGTGGTGCACGGAGAAGGAGAAGGGGCCCGTCCGCGTCCAGGAAGGGCAGCCCCTCGGGGGACCACTGGTTCCGGTGGATGTAGAACTCTGTAGAAGCTTCGGAGCACCCCCGCGCCCCTGGCCTGGAGGGCAGCCTGTGAGGTGGTGAAGGTCAGGCTCTGCGGTTGGACAGTTGGGCTCAGACCCCAGCTCAGGACGAGCAGCTGGGAACCATTGGGCACGTTACCCACCGGCTGTGCCTTGGTCTCCTTTGAATTACAGGCCTGGATTATCCTGTTGTTACGAGAATTAAATGAGAAATGCCTGACATCCGGCCGGTGTGGCTCAGTGGCTGAGCATCGACTCTGCACCAAGAGGTTGCCGGTTTGATTCCCAATCAGGACACATGCCCAGGTTGTGGACCGATCCCCAGCAGGGGTCATGCAGGAGGCGGCCAGTCGATGTTTCTCTCTCTCTCTCCCTCTCCCTTCCTCTCTGTCTAAAATCAATAAAGAAAAAAAAAAAAAACATTATAAAAAAAGAGAGAGAGATGCTTGGAAAGGCTCGGGTGTGGTGACCGGCAACAGGGACACAACACACACGTCACAGTTGCTGCTTTTCCACGGGGCGCCTCCTAAGTGCCAGTCACCATCCTGCCCGCGGCCAACACGGCCAGGCAGCGAGGGACAGACAGCCGAGGGCCCACTGCACACCCAGTGTTCCTAGCAGTTCAGCTCTGTTTCCTTTAGAGGAAACAAGAGGTCCCACCGCAGCGCCAGCCTCATTCCCCTGCTGCCGAGGTCCCCGCGGACCGCACCCCGGGAGCCGGACGCCCCTCCGCCTCACCTGGATCACGCCACCCCCGGCGCCCGCTTCCTCGGCCAGGAACGCCGGTGGCAAGCGTAGCATCTTCCCCAGCCAGTCCAGCATCACCGTCTCCAGCTCCGTGCACGCCGGGCTCGCGGCCTGGGGGGGCAGAGTGACCTCTGGCCAGCTGCCCCCTGCTCCGTCAGCTCCTGACGAAGGCATTTCTGGACGGGGCAGCTCCACCATTGTCGAGCCCTGGATTTTATCAACTTAACAGGAGGTTCAGACATTTTCAGAGGGCCCGTCCCTGGGCGGTGTGCAGGGGAGGGTGGGCGTCCTCTCCTGGAGCCCGGGAGAAGCAGGGTCAGAGACGCCGGGACGGGGGGCTGCGAGCCCTGCCCCCGGCAGCTCTGAGGCATGGCTGGTCTGCCTGGTGCCAAGAGCCCGGCCCACAGGTGTCTCTCGGGACTCGGCAAAGGGGGAACCCTCACCCCTTCAGATCCCGGGTCTGCCCCAGGAAGCGGGTACCGTGTGCGAGGGTGCGCACGGGGCTCAGGGACCTCCTCCTCCTCCTCCCTCGGGCTTGGGCTCCTGGACATGTCGCCCCCTCTGCCCACCTTTCCTGCCGCAATTCTCAAGGGGCTGGTGTATGAACAGGGACCAGACTTTGCAGAATTTTGACAGCAGCCGCTGGGCTTGATCTTCCACTGAACCTTGGTTACAATCCTCCAATCCCAGACGCAACGCAAACGCCGGAAACGGCCAAACAGTCTCTGACCACAACGTGTGGTGGAACGGCTGGGAGGGGAGGCCCATGGCAGCACCTGCTGCGTGGCTGGGGAGGGGCTGTTTCCATGCAGAAGGGTCTAGAAAGGACCCCGCTGGGCCCCGTGCAGACATTCAGTGCAATGGGACTGAGTCGGGAGCGGGGTTGGGGGTCTGAACCCTCCGAGCCTTGGACAAGTCCCTGACCTCGGACACCTCGAGCTGGGGCTGTAAAAGCTGTCCTGTCTTTGTACGGGGGGCAGGTGGCCCAGCCTCCCCTCTGCGCGGGTCTCACTGTCGTGGTCAGGGCCCTGTCCCCCACCTCCGTGCACTGGCTCAGGACGCAAGGCTGCTGACCACAGCCCCTGAGGGTCCTCCCTGTCCCAGCTGAGCCCAGCTTCGGCCCGGAGCCCTGCTCTGGCCGCTAGGAAGCCAGGTCTCAGTGTTAGCCTCCCGGGCCCAGAGAAGTCAGACTCTCCTCAGAAAGGTCACAGAACAGGAGCCAGAGGCCAGTCACCCTGAAGGGACCGGGCAGCTCTGGACCCACAGAGCTGAGTGACCTCTGCTCTGACCTCTAAGGAGGCCCACATGCTTGCTTCAGGAGGGTGAGCTCAGAGGGACAAAGCTCAGGCCTCGGTGGTGTGCCCAGCCGCTGTCCCCACAGAGGGAGGCCGGTCCCTGACGGAGCAGGTCAGAGAGCTGGGCGGGCTGCGGGGCACCCTCCAGCCCGTCCCGCCAGGGGGAGGCCGCTCCGCCGCCACCTGCACCTGGACCGGGGTGCAGCTGTGGGTCTGCTGGGAACTCTCGGCTCACCTCTGGCCCTGATTCAGATGCGTCAGCCCCAGCGCCCACCCAGCTCCAGGGCACAGGAAGTGGGCACTGCGGACCCAGGAGGCCAAGGGCAGACCCTGGCGCTGACGCCCCTGGGGGTGGGCAGCTCTGCCTCCCCACTCTGCGCTGTGGGGCTGCGTTGGGAGCAGAGAGCTGGGAGGAAGGACGGCCCCTCCCACCATCCCCAGGTGGGGTGGGCCTGCACTGGGGGGATGCAAGGGCTGGTCCCAGGAGCCCAGCTTCCTGATGGGGGACCCTCTCCAGGACAGCAGCTTCAGCCAAGAACAAACGGATGATGGCGCCCCTCTGGGCTGCCGAGTGGGAATGCAGGTTCCTGGGCTGCGGAAACCCAGGCCTGAGATTTCCATCCACACCAGGGCCTGCTGTGCAGAACGGCCTGGTGGGGTTGATGGCCTTTTCTTAAAGGGCTCTCTCTCCAGTGCCCCGACGAGGTGCCCTCTCCGGGGCCGGACCCCTCTGCCCTCAGGGGCCCCGCAGGCCCTCCGTGTCCCCGCCACTCACCCAGGAGAAGCCGATGCAGCCGATGGCCCCGCACAGCATGTCGGCCAGCATGGCCGGGTACGAGCTGGCCGTGGGGAAGTAGGCGAAGAAGCGGGGGCTGTGCCAGTGGGTCACCTGTGAGGGGACAGCGGTCACTCGGGAGTGAGGGGACCTCACTGAAGCGCAGCACCTGGAATGCCAGCCAGGTGCCCAGGAGCAGCCCACACCTGAGGCCCAGCTCCCGGGCGAACGCGGGGTTTCCTGAAACTGCTCCCCGCAAACAAAGTCTGTGCAGAAAACGCTCGCGGAGGCCTGGCTGTGGTGGGGTCTCAGCCGGTCCCCTGTTATTGGGGCACAGCCTATCTGTGTCCCCGTGTTCTGGTGTGGGAGCCCTCCCCCGCAGTGGGAAGGGGATGTGCGGACACAGTGAGGAGGTGGCCGTCGGCAAGCCCGGAGAACCTGCAGCAGGAGCTGGGCTGTGGCCTCGGACCCTGGCCTCGGACCCTGGCCTCGGAGCCTGGCCTCGGACCCTGGCCTCGGAGCCTGGCCTCGGACCCTGGCCTCGGAGCCCCGAGCAGGGGCGTGCGCAGTCTGAGCGCCCCGCCGGTGTGTTCCCGTGGCAGTCGGAGCCTGACATTTAACCGCTCGTCCCCGGAGGGGCTGATGCTGAGGGCTTAGTGTGTTTGCACAGCCTGTGGGCGAGAACCAGCAGCCACGCCTGAGTGCAAATGTCAGGGACACTCTCCCGGGAGGAGGACCGGGTCGTGAGCACCTGAGCCGGGAGGGCCCTGAGCTGGGGCCCACCCCGGGCTGCTGGCCTCAGGGCCTCGGCGTCCAGTCTGGACACGGGGATGGGACGGAGGTCTGAGCCTCGGGTGGCTTCCAGGGGAACTGACTGCGGGGACACAGTGCTGTGGTGGGTTTCCTGGGACCAGAACTGTCCGCCCCCTTGGGGACACTCAGCCCGGGGTCCTGCCCACTGCTCTCCCAGGTCCTCCGTGCGCCGCACGCGCTGTGACTCTGGACAGAACCAGTTTGCGCCACCCATTCTCAGACGAGTCAACACCGCGTCCCTCTCACATGCTGGGAGCACCACGGAAGGACGCGCTTCCTTCTGAGCAGTGGACGTGCTCCAGCCAGCCGTCACGTCCATGGGGCCACACAGCAGGGTCTCAGGCAGGGGATGGACCTGGGGAGAGACTCTGGCCGCCCGTGGGGCCCCCTGATCTGGGGTGCAATCCTGGCTCTGTCACTTACTAGCTGTGTGACCTCACACTATCATCTAGCGTCTCCGCACCTCAGTGGCCTCTCCTGCTAATGATGAGGGTTTCTGTCCAGCGGGGCGGCTGTGAGGACGAGGGGAGATGACACAGGTGCGTGGCCCGGGGCCTGGGAGGTGCTCCAGGCCGCTAGTCCTCCTGACTCGCGTACACTTACCCCTGGCATGATGATCTTCTCCACGTCGTCCATGATGTCCTCGTACGTGTCTGGCTCCTGGGGGGCGCAGCTGGGGATCAGGGGGCGCAGGTAGCCGGGCTCCACGCTGGGGTACACCTGGCGGCCCTCGATGCTTTCTATGTAGTTAGCTATGTAGTCCACCATCTCCTTTCCTCTCCTCCTGAATTCACTCGCGTTCATGGTGGCAGGGTCTCCGTCGGAGAAGCTGCGCAGAGGCAGGGAGGAAGCCAGTTGGCCGACAGGAAACCTCTACACGGGGCTGGGGCGCCTCCAAGCAAGCCGATGGCTGGGGCCACCTGGGCAGTGTCCTAAATACCCTGGGGGCCACCAGGTCCCCGTCAGGAGCACTTTCCTCCCAAGTTTGGAAGGCGGGAGATGACCCTGAATCTGGAGACTGCAGCAAACACCTCTGCTGTTCTCCAACCGGTCAACTGAGGGTGGCGCCAAGCCTGTGCTCCCATCGTCCACTTGGTGAGACGGACACACGCTCATTCCCATGCCCATCCCCACTTCGACGACGGCTGTCGGCCCCTTTAGCTATTGAACGTGTCACCAACGAGACGAGACCTCAGATCTTGTCTCTTGTGTGTGTGTGTTTGTGAATCCTCACCCGAGGATATCTTTCCATTGGTTTTTAGAGAGAGTGGAAGGGAGGGTGGGGGAGAGAGAGAGAAACATCCATGTGAGAGAGACACATCGATTGGTTGCCTCCTGCACGGCCCTGACCGGCGCCAGGGACCGAACCTGCAACCCAGGGCTAACGGCTGAGCTGAACCAGCCAGGGCAGTTCCGGTCTTTTTGAAGGAAAGATTTCACCCCAGAGACAAAGTTCAGCAAAGCCAGGAAGACTTTATCGGCTGCAACGGACACATGCCCAGGACACAGAAATGAGGAAGGGCTGAGTCACAGAACAGGGGGCCTTGGAGACAGGCTCAGGGGCTGGGCCGGGGACAAGCTGCTGCTGCCCACACGTCCCCGGCAGCGTGTCTCGTGGGGTCCCCTGGAGGGAAGGGGGGGACAGAGGGGCATGCTTCCCCGGGGCAGAGCGTGCCCTGGGTCCTTTGTGCTGAGCGTATTTCTCTCTCTTTTGCAGGTGGGAATCTTAGGGGAGGTCTCAGGGGAAGGTCTCAATAGACCATTTATCAGCCTTCCGAGTGTCCACTGATTGGTGGGCGCCAGGGCAGGGGTCACTCGTCAGTGCCGCTGGTCCTGGGGCCGCCGTGGCGTCACTCGTCTGGTTTTGCTGCTTTTCTGGGCCTGGAGCTGAAACAGAGCTGAGACTTAGATGTTATCTTCAGGGAGGAAGAGGTCAGGGGTCTAAACTGCATGACCGGCGATTTGAAAGGTCAGAGGAGGAAAGGTTACCCCGAGGGCGAGGTTCTTGTTTTCCCAGTTTCGCCCCTTGCCAGGCACCCGGGCTTTGTGCTCTGGTGACCTGGTCCACCGGCCAAGAGACTCTCGCCCTGCCAGAGGGACCGTCAGACCCGGTCACAAAAGGGTGGCGTCTAGGGGAGGCACCTCCTGCCTACGAGTAGCTCGTAACCGGTGGAGACAAGCTACAAACACCAGGACTGTTGGGGCAGACGCCGGAACGGCCAGAATGACAGCAAATGGCCCGACGAGAGGATGAAGTCCCAGTTCTTCACAATTTCAACTTAAAGGACGAGAGAAAAGTGAAACATTCGTTGGGAGGATTGTAGCCAATTATTTAAGAAAACGAGAGACATTCAGGATCTGGTTCCGTCGAATTCATGGGGGGGAGAAACAGAGGTTTGAAGACAGTGACCCAGAGTCTGATATCCCCAACTGTGCATCGTGGAGTCTCTTGAAACACAATTGCCCCCTAAAATAACCCTCATTTTTATCAGCGGGCCAAATTAAGATCCATGTATTGACGACAGTGGTCAGTCCCCGCTGGCCCGATGATTTGCGTGAGCGCAGCGAGGAGAGCGGAGGGTCCGCGAGGCTCCCGCAGTGGCCGTGCTGGAATCGCGCCACCCAGTTGCCACCTGGCCTCATCTGCAGTTCCTATAGGTTTGGGGAGTCCCCGAGGTCCCCCAAATGTCTGGAGGCTCTTTCCTTGTCATCTTGCAAGAAAGCCAGTGTCCTCGCTCCTCAGCTGGAGAGACGGCCATGAGCCATGCGAATAGGCCAGGGGCCAGGCCACCTGTCCCAGGGGCTTTATCAGCTCTGACATCAACCTCAATTCCGCAAGGCTCTCCGGTGACATCCGGGGTCCGCGCGTGTCTCTCTCGGACGTGACATTCCCGTCGAAGCCTCGGTGAACGAAGCCACCGCGGAAACGGGTCTCATGAACTTCATGCAAAGAGACACACTGCCGTGAAAATAACGCTCGTTCAAAGCTGCCGCACTCGGGAGGGAGTTGGGTTGGGAGAAAAGCACAAACGCTCCCCTATTGCTCATGAGGGCAACGTTGACCGAACGGCTCGCGGGGACGAGACAAAACAAAACACAAGCTTCCTCGTATCTGGAAAGCAACATGGTTTTCGAAGTTAGCACTCTTTGGAACGAAGTCAGAAGGATCATGCTTGTTCTCAGCTCATCAGTCCCGCGTAACCGAGCTTTGTTTATCCTGACCGGTCGCCGTTGTTTTCACGAATCCAGTTATTCCTTACAGTTATTCCTTACAGTTATTCCTTACAGTTATTCCTTACAGTTATTCCTTACAGTTATTCCTTACAGTGTTATTCCTTCCAGTTATTCCTTCCAGTTATTCCTTCCAGTTATTCCTTCCAGTTATTCCTTACAGTGTTATTCCTTACAGTTATTCCTTACAGTGTTATTCCTTCCAGTTATTCCTTCCAGTTATTCCTTACAGTGTTATTCCTTACAGTGTTATTCCTTACAGTGTTATTCCTTACAGTTATTCCTTCCAGTTATTCCTTCCAGTTATTCCTTACACAGTTCCATAAATCTTCATCTACTTCAAAGAAGCAACCTACTTAGAAGCCTGTAATTTGGATGAAGTCGGAGCCCTTTTAATGAACCTTTCCCAAGACGGGCCACATTGGCAGATGCGGCCGAGTGACACCAGCGTCAGCGACAAAACCCAAAACGACGTGGCGGCAGATCTGATCAGAAGGCAGCGGATGAAGAGGGTTGCTTCTCTGTGAGATGCAACATTCCAAGATAACAACCCCTTGGGAAGTGAAACCCCCCGGAACGATCCAGAAGAACAGTGCAAACCCCACATTTTTAGACGTCGACAATTTCACTACACACAGAGCAAACCCTATGCGAGAGTTTAAAGTGCTGTACACGGTTCATCGGAAGTGCGCACGGTGCACAGGAAACAGTTCCTCCCCTCCCAACGTGCGGCCCCCAGGCGCCTGAAGTATGTCGGCGGGGCGTCTCCCCAGCGAGCCGCGCGTGCCCGGGGCCGCTCACTGGACACCTGCCACCCTGAGGCTGTTCTGTTTGGACTTGGCTCTGATTCTTTGCATGTTCCTCCCTGGGACAGGCTGAAATTTCTAGAACATCCATTTTAATAAAAATATATATGCATACAAATAGAACATAGTTATTATTCTTCTATTTGGCAAAGCTTCCCTGGTGATTTTCAAGCACATGAAGTAGGCCCAATTAGTTCAAAAACTTCTCTGTTTAAAGGTGAGAGAACAAATCCTTCAGGTAGTCCAGAGGCCTAGTGCAATACTTCCAAAGTCAAAAGTCATTTCAAGTCTTTGAAAATCTAAACTTTGAGAACGTTGTCAAAAACAAAAACAACTAAAAGATCATAACACCAACTTTTTGTACACCTGGGTAAACAAACACATATTTTATGGGAATAACTTTAAGAGACGTCCATCAAACTCAAATCAGTTTTAATGTTAAATATTTTGTCCAGACCACAGGCTCCTGCTCAATCTATATCAGTATTTAATTTATTTAGGCCGAGAAAACATGACACCCTCATTACGCCATCTGGAGGCACAGAGCACCCCACGTGTACTGCACAGATGAACACACACCTCAGAGAGACCATTCCACGGACATCACACGCAATTACTCATTTTAGCAGAGAAGGAACAAGATCTTTCTCACTAGCTGCTGATAACCTGCAGGAAGGCTGGAGAGGGAGGCGGAGACTCTCGCTGGATGGTGATGTTATATCAGCCTCTCCTTCCTCCGACCAGGCCTCCGGGTCGCTTGCATTTGGGGCCGTGCTGTATTGCCAAAGAAGACTGTTCGCGTCTCCTTAAAGTTTGGGGGTCGATTCTGACCAGTCCTGGAGGGTGCGTCCTCGGGGCGGGCCTGAGGAACGGGGCACTGGTGTCCCGTCTGGAAGAGGACAGAGGACAGTCCCCGCCGTAGTGGGCTCCCAGGAGGGCGTCCCTGCCTCGTGCTCAGGTTTTCGGGCTCAGCGAGCGACCGCGTCCCTAAACTCACCGGCAGGGTGTCCTTCCTCTCCTTGTGGCCGGGGTCCGGGGACGCAGCCTAGACGTGAGCGCGGAGCTGGCCCATGCGTCTCTCGTCTCTCCCTTTTCCGGTCCCCGGGTGCATGAGGAGGCCCAGCGGGGAGCCCCTGGAGCCGGGGACAACCGTCGGACTCTTCGCCATCCTCTCATTAATTTCTGAAGTGGCCAGAAAAGGCGGCGGACCCACTGGCGACGTCTAACGGCGTGCAGATCTGCCGTCTCCCGCCCGGGGGCTCTCTTCCGTTCCGTCCCCTGTCGTTTTCGGTGACCCTTCCAGGGGACCTGACTCCACAGCACAACGGGTTCTCCTACAGAAGGTTCCCCGCAGACGCTCCCAGAAGCCGGCAGGCAGCCCAGTTGGAATCGGTCAGGAAGGCCGTTCGTTCCTTTGCAAACCCATCAGGGCCCTGGAGAAAGTCAGGGGAGTCTTTGGGCCGACTCCTTAATTCCTGGCCTCGCACGAAGAATGTACACCTGCTCCCCGTCCCGCTGAAGACAGGCCTTTCTGGTTTTTCTGTCCTGGGTGTAATTTTCCCGGGCTTCTCCGAGAAGCCTCTAATTTCCAATCAAGATAAGCTTCCCATTCGTGCAGTTTTAGTTCCAGAGCTGGCTTCTGTTTTTGTTTTTGTTTTTTTCATGCAAGAATGAACGTGGGCATCAAAAGAGCTGCATGTCGACCATCTTGGTTTGTATCACTTCTAGTGACATCTCCCCATTTCTGTACGTATTGGCACGTACAAG